TCAAAACTTTTTTTTTTTTGAAACTTCGAGAATTTGTAAAACAATAATTTGAATTTCTTGAGATTTTAGTTTACTGTTTTCTACTATTTTTTTTTTCTTTATTTTATTTTATCCGTACCAATACTGTTAAAAATAAAAAAAGAAAAAAAATCCCAATATTAGTATACACTGGATTTCAGAGTTTGGAACAGATTTGTTTTCTTTAGTTTGGACTTTATTTTCGCTTTTTATTTTCTATTTTTATCTTTACTTTTCTTTTATACTTTTATTTTTTTATTTTTATCTTTATGGCCTGTTTGGTAGCTGTTTTACTTTAGATGTTTTTGTTGCAGGGCTTTATTTCAGTCCCAAAACATGTTTGGTAGCTATTGTTTTGTCTTAAACAATATTAAAACATTGTTAAAATTTAAAAGTAAAACACCAAAATGGTGTTTTTTGTTGTTTTAATACTATTAGCCCAATAAAAGCACTATAGCGGAGGAAGTAAGTCATGTCGAATACTGTAGCGGAGGAAGTAACTTTAACCAAACTTGCAACATGTATATAAACCATACTTAAAATATTTCAGTCATTTTGTAGGGTTTTCTAGAGAGCTCGAGCGGAGGCGATTTTGTGGCGACTCTACAGTATGTGCTTGTTCGGCTGAAAATGACGACCGATCCTTGCTTTCAGTGGTGTTTTCGCTCAATCTAACCACCGATCTTTACCATTTTGTTGTCTTCGTCGAAGAACAAGGCAGGTTTGAGCAATTTTTGCCTGTTTATTACACTATGTTGAACATATTTCATATTTCTCAGTTCTTTCTTCGACTTTTATGGTTAATAATCGTCAAATATTGTATGATTTTAGGGTTTTCTTAAACATTTTAGTTCATTGATTTGAAACCCTTTTTTTTTTTTTTTTTTCATTTTTTCTGATAAATGACCACAAATGCCAGTTTTCTGAGGTTTGATTTGGTTCATTTTTCTTTAAAACCATGCTTATTATTGTTTATGAATGAATCAAGTTGCTTCCAAATGTTTCTCTTATCCTGGCCTGTTGGAGATTGGGTCCATCTTATTAACTAATTACTCTTAATAGAAATACTTTGATTGTTAATTTAAATATGGTAGTTTTGGCTGCTGCAATATACACTTTGTGGAAGGGGAGGAACAATATATTATTGAAAAATGACTTCAGGGTTATTTTTATTCTCCAAAGAGAAATTATTGAGGTTGTCAGACTCAAATTTTATTCTTTTAAGGGGTTAATAGGGAATGGAATTTACCCGAATCAGTCTTAAGTAATAAGTTAAAGTATTGTAGTGGTTATGCTCAGTTCTCCACCTGTGTCTAGGTTGGTATTTTGTTTTGGTTCCTTCATAATTATCATAACATGGTAGGTAATGCAGATTATAAAAGATTAGTTTGGTAGTCTTGTTCTGGACCATTTGCTGGACTACTGTGTGGTTTCATGATTAGTTGGCTTGTTATAATTTTGTTGTTAGGTTGAGAGAAAGATTGTTTACTTCAACGAAAAGGCCTGCAATAGTTGGTGTTGTGCTGACACAAAGTTTTATGTTGGTTTTGTTTGAGGTTTAAAAGCTTTTTTTAATATTAGGTTTATTGTGAGAGTTTATTTTTGTTGGTGGTGAATTTTTTTTTCTTTGCCTTTTGAGTATTGTCTTTGTTAGATATAGGTTTGATTGTTTTTGTGTTGTTTTGTTGGTGGAGAGGATGCATGCTTCCTTGAATGTTGTACTCATAGTTTGTGATTTAGGAATAAAAATCAAGCTTGCTTCTTGAAAAAAAAAAGACTTTAATTTGCTGGTCATACGATTTTTCTTTTTTCTTTTTTAAAATTTGGGAAAGTTTTATTTTCTCTTCTCATTATGGATTGGTGGCATTGGAGCTTTTTCTATGTTGGGGAATGCCTCTTGAATACTTCTTTTACATTGTTAATGAAAGTCTAATTATCCAAAAAAAAGTGGCTATAATTATTCCGTCTTTGTTTCTAAATTTTTGTGGGTATTGATGTTGATGATCATTGGAAAATGGAGGAATTTAGGGTGGAAGATACTCCTAGGTGTTGGTGCTATATGGTTGCTAAGTATTAAAAAAATGGTGAACACGTCATTTTTCTGCTCAATTACTTTTAATAAATTTTCCTGTTGTTACTGCATTATGCTAACGTGACTTTTTGTTTCTAATTTTTAAGGGAATTCATGTTGATAATGACTGGAATATTCAAGTATTATTTGGATAATGTTGCGTGTGTTTGGTGTTATAATGGTTCATTGTTGCTGTTTGGAGTGGATTGGAATTGTGTTTCTGGAAGACTTCCAATTGTGACCATGTTGCTGTTGGCAAAATTTGGAATCTACTGGACTTTGCTTCCTTCAGTAATGCTGGACTTAAAAGGGACTACTCTGCCATATTTGGTTGTTTTTCATGGTGTCAATGTAGCATTTGAAGTGTTGTAAGAATTTTTTTTCCCAATTTTGCCTTTAGTAAATAATACAATTCAAGAGCTACGTATAGACAGCTGAGACATCTTTATGTAAAATTGTTGGATTTTTTATTATTATACACAACAGGTTGTATATTGTGTTATCAAATGTATTTCAATGGAATGGAAGGTTTTGTTGAGTTGAATTGAATTAGCTATCTCTTTTTCTTTTCTTTTCTTTTCTTTTCTTTTTCTTTTTTTTTTTTTTTTTTTTTCAGAGAACTTATATAGGTTGAAAAATTTCCTTTAAAAATTCTCGAAGCAATGAAGTCAAACCAGTAGGCAATGGCACATAGCTTACAGGTTCACAGAAAGATTACGTACTCCAAAGAAAGCAAAAAAAATGTTGGGATTTGCTAATCATAATAATATCAATACATTAGGAAAGGAAAAGAGTTCTCCAAGAAGAACCAATGATAGTGGAGAAATAAAAGTTACTCATACCTAATCCTGTTTAATTGTGACTATTTTTATCTTTACCAATTTCAGTTGGAGTGACCAAACATGTTCTTTTTTTAAAAATTTTTGAAATGCATTACCTACCAAACATAGTTTGCATGTTTCTGAGATTTCCATAATAAAAAATTGTTTCCAAATGTGCTTTCGATTTTTTTTCAAAACACTTTTATAGCAAAAACACTGTTTCTGTTTTAGTAAAAAACAAAACGCTTAAAACAAAGCGCATGCCAAACGGGCCGTTACTTGTCCATTGCTGGCGTCCTCCAATAATATCATTTTCAGAGGGACCTATTTGCATCAAAGTGAAACTTTAGGAGTGCAGGGACATCCTCCAATAGTATCATTTTTTGTCATTTTATAAAATTATTTAATTTTATATATTTTATAAAATGGTTCAGTAAGGGTAATTTAGTCAACTTATGATTTAAAATTTTTAGATGGATCTATTTGCACCGAATTGAAACTTTAAGAATATTTTTTGCACATGCGGATGTGATATGCAATATAAATATACTTTAAAGGTATTTTGACCCCCATTTTTTAATAATAAAAACTGTTTGCATAATTAAAAATCTTGATGACATTATTAAGCAATTGAAATGTGTTGGGGATTTAGGGGAAAAAAAAAAAATGTGTTGGGGCAGGCACATTAATTTGTTGGTGCAGATTATGTAGAAGTCACGGGGACTTGACTACGAGTTAATATATATATTTATCCTTTTATTTTTTTTATTGGGATGCCAAATCAAGCATATTGTAGCATGAGATTTAGGTCACCAGATACCAAATTTAAGTGAACAAATTAATCACAACACACACTCTTATAAAATCACTACCATATTTTTTGGGTTGAAAAAACCAATACCATATTGTTCAAGCTTGAAATTCTGATTTGTTTGCTTTGCAATCGTGTGAATTCATATTGCTATTTTTTTTTACTTGTGAGCAATGATGGATTCAGAAAATTATATGAGGGGATAATCTTGAACAATAATAGTATATGGTGCGGATCATTAGATATTGAGAAAAGACATTTTAAAATTTTTTACAAAATTTATAGGTGATTTTATAAATAAAAAAAATTTCAATTTGCTCCTGCTGAGGCCTTAATGGGTGCATCTCATGAGAAGGCAGTTAAAAAGAAGTAAGCCAAATATGCTTTAATTTTTCATAAACTATTCAGTCACAACTCACAGGGAAAGATGGAAAAATAAATTTATTTATTAATTTTAATATCTATTTAATTGGAGCACCTTTTAGATTGAAAAATCATGAAGGTGACCAAGTGGTCATACGAAATAGAAGTTTCAAGTTGCAATGTAAGTATCTCATTATATGTATAAAAGGATAGAAGAAGTTGTTTTGGATGATTTACTAATAATTTGCAACTTTTTCTAGACCGAAAAAACGAACTTTAAATCCATTTCTAAAAGAAGAAAAAAAAAGCTATAAACTCCAAATTATTTCAGTGCCGAGATATTCCCAAATGTTTTTACGGGAACTAAGAAATAATTGAAATCCAAATTATCCCATGCATAATAAGTCTTAAATTTTACACTTACATTTTGAAAGATGAATTTATCATTTCATTTATTAATAAGTATTTATGGTAAAAAAACAAGGCCACTAAATATAAGAAATTGTTCATCAACTATTTAAGTCAATTTATAATCGGTAAGTACATACAAATGTACAATACAAAGTCCAATGGGCTTAATAGAATTGGTAAGGTAATGACCTGGATGCCCTAATGTCTCAAGTTCGAATCCGTTGATCTCCATTATTATCCTTAACTTGAAATGCTATCCAAAGGTCGGGTAGGTGCAAGTGGTCACATAATTTGCTACTCTCTTTTTTTTTTTTTTTTTTTTTTTAATAATAAATAAAATACATTATTGTAAAAAGAAACAGTATAACAAAAATAGTGTTACGGTACTAATATTACAATAAATTCATTTTTTTTTTTAAATAAAATTTTATTAGTATTACAATTTCAGTTTTGGCTGAAAAGACAAGCATGTCCTAGCAAGGAACAATGAACAAACTGTAAACCTAGGGAGGCGACAGACTGTCTAAAATCGTAAAACACCGTTAAGTCTTCTTCCCCCAAGCAAGCCTCTTAGGAACGGAACCCCAAACCCCCCGAACCCCAGTTACGCCACCCTCCTCCTCTCTCTCTCTCTCTCAGACGTCGGCATAAGGCGGTAAGGTTGATTCATGATATTTAGTTATTCAATCTTTGTTTTTGTTACGGTTCATAATATAGGGATGGGAAATTTGCTTTCTTCTTTAGGGATCTAACTTTGGAAAGAGTTAGGATTCATTTCTGTGATACTGGAAATACACACAGATACACACACACACACACATATATATATATACGCGTTTGTATATTTGAAATTAACATGAAATGTTTAGGATTCATTTCTGTGATACTGGAAATACACACAGGTACACACTTATTATATATACGCGTTTGTATATTTGTAATTAACATACCACTTTTGTGTCGCACAGTCCGTTCTTCAAATCAATGTCTTACAGGCGTATCATATCCACAAGAGCGACACTTCTCGCTCGGCGGCGTTTTAGATCATCGTTTAGTTACATTCATCACGATAACGATGAGTGCAGAGAACACTCTATCGGTGAAGATAAAAAAATTAACAATTTTTTCCAAAGGCGATTCTTCGGGAACAGTGGCATTAACACTTCCGCTGGATTTGGTACTTTGTTTCAAGATCAAAGGTGTTCTCAGTTCTTTGTTCCGCCGATGACCGGAGCAATTTTCAGTAGAAATATGTCGACGACAATTGGCGAAGGAGCGGACAAGATTGGGTACATGACTGATGTTGCGGAAGTTCTCACGGATAAGACCGTTGAAGTTGTGGCTTCTCAGGCCCCTGCTGTGAGTGAAGTAGCTATTGCTGCTGCAGATTCTTTCTTTCCTGTTGCGGCCTTGCAGTATGTGATTGATGGTGTTCACTCTTTTACCGGCTTGAATTGGTAAGGACTGAGCTATGTTTTCACGCGCAACTTCAAATCTATGTTCTTGTAAATTGTTTTATTTTAGATGTGAAAAAGTGAGATCATTCCCTTAAGGGACAATTGGGTTTGAAAATGTGACCCTTTTGTTACACTAGTGCTATGATTGTGTTGATTAAGCTCGACATTTTGATATTATTTTATTTTTCTTAAAATGCTCCTCTGGTTGTGTAACCTGTTTATTTCCTTAGTTATAGCAAAACCTTGTTGTTTTAATTGAATTGGGTGCTGAGGAGTAAGCAAAGCTATATTAGAGAGAGCGCTTGCCTAAATATATCTGAAGAGGCTTGGCTGACTAGTAGGCAGCCAATCCGTGCCTGAAATGACAAATTATTTGAATGTTGGATGTTTGGCGAGTCAAATGCCCAAGTTTATTTAAGGAAAAAATTATTCCGAGTCAATAGTGATGTATTTGTGTGATTGACCCATTCGTAGAATTATCTCTTGACTTGTGATCCCATTGCTGGTATGTTAATTTATAATTTTTTATTTTTAAAAGAAGCTAAGGAGGGTGTCACTGGTTGTACGAAAAGAGAAGATTGTGAGAAACAAGAGAGTTTTTATGCTGATGAAAATGAAATAGGAAAATTATCAAGGGTTTGCGAACTAGGTTATTTTCATTTCGGATTTGAAACACAATGCATCACTGAAAACTTTCGGATGGATGCTACAATAAAGCTACCAATGATATATCATTTTAGTAGAAAAGTGTTTTATTTTGTTTGTTATTTCTTTCAGGTGGGCATCTATAGTTATAACAACACTTTTGATACGGGGGTTAACAATTCCAGTTTTGATAAATCAGCTCAAAGCTACTTCAAAATTGACTGTGAGTTACATTACATGGTTTCAACATTTCTTTTGCTTTTGAATTTTTTTTTTTTTTGGGTCTGATATTGCATGATATTTGCTGACAACTGTATATGTTAATTCCTCCATAACGAGTGAGAGATTTTGATCACAAGTTTGAAAATATTATCAATCTTCAGTTGTAACTTTAAATTTTTTTAAGAATTTCTTTTACCCCATGTAGCATTGCATGAAGTAATTCCTTATCTAAATGTGTGCAATTCAATCCTTATACCTCTTGTGGTGGCTACTAGCAAATGCTCAATGGCTTTTCTTATATATGTTTTCATTGTCTTATTTTTAGATCTTTATAAAATGTTTTTACTTATCTGTACTTAAAATTTTGGACAGTCGGTATCCATGAGAGAGTTGAGGAGATCTTGGCCAAAAAAGATAGTTTTTTCTCGATAAAGGGTAAATTGGCCAAAAAATATTCTTGTTGATTTTTTTTGGGCTGGGGGGGTAAGATTATGGAAGATTTCCCTACCCCTTCTGGAGCAAGACTATCCCTTTCGATGCCTTCAATCGGCCCCTAAGCATGGGTATCGGGTAAATCTAGGATGGAGGTTTTTGACACCCCTTGGAATTGGATACAAGACCTTTGGGTAATGTCCAAAGGCCTTGTGCCAAATTATCTACTCTATGTTGCAAAGGAAGCGTCATAGTTTATTTGATTATTTATTCATTTTTATTTTATTTTTGCTTTTGGGTATTTGGTGGTGGAACTAAAAAATGTATTCATTAGCCCACAATCCGATGAAATACACATTCATAACCGCTAAAACTTCTATATGTTTCACGTCCCAATTCTTAAAAACACATTCCATGCATATAGTTTCGATGATGATGAGTAAAATTGGGAGGAAATATTTTCTGCCCAAAAGAAGGAAAAACAGTGCAGAAGAGAGATGCTGAAATAAGTTAACAGCCTTATGTGGCATCACATCGAACAACAAGAACCAAGCCTTTTTCCCAACTACTTGGGTCGGCCACATGAATCCTATGTTTCCCTTCCACTCTATTTAAGGCCATAGCCTCATTCATTTTGTGGCATCACATTGCATAAATAAATCTTCTAAGCTCAAGTGCTATGTTTGAACATTGAACTAATTGATCTGACCTTTCTATATTAGTTTTCACCTCATAATACCATACTTTGGACAAGTTGATTGGCACTTTTCCGCCATTATCTTTCAGAGTCTCTTACCTTGGATTGGAATGACTTTCTGAGGGTTATTTATTAAAATTGAAACATGAGAAGGTTGCGAAGGTGGTTACCTCAAGCTCTAAACTATGAGCATGCCAAGTGATGTGATATATGGGATGAACCTGTCTTCGCGAACATGGCCATATCTCGTAACTCAAGTGTTCGCCTATTGCACGAAGATGTTCGCGAAACTTTATAGATCACAAAAGCAGTTTCAGAGTGTTGGTTAGGAATCAATCCTATTAGGACATTGAGCTATTTCAGTTCCCATAGAGTGCATGAGTAAAGCAAGGAGAGATAAAACCCTAAAAGGCCTTATACCATTTGGAGACAGCATTAGCACATATAAGCACTTCACCTTCACCTTACCTAGGCGATGTGGGGTCGTGTACCCGTAGCCTGCCAGAGCCTCACACCTGCCCACGCACAACCGCCCATAAGGTCACCACAATCACCCCCGTTAGGGGCCAAACGTCCTCGTTGGCCACACTTCCGGCTGGGCTCCGACTCTGATATCATTGTAACAACCTACTCCACCAATGGTATGATATTGTCTGCTTTGGGCCTGAGCCCGTACGTTGTTGTTTTTGGGTTTTATCTCAAAAGGTCTCATACCATTTGGAGACAACACTAGCACATATAATCACTTCACTTTCACCCATGCGATATGGGATTGTGCCTGCCCACACACACCCATCCACAACGTCGCCACACAGAAAGTCAATCCTTTTTATTTCTATATTTATTTTTTAATTTTTTTGTTTATTTAAGAGATGCATATATTACTTTCTCCTGTTAATGCGTTAGAGGCTATGGTAGAGGTTCCCCCGCATTTTATTCATGCAATAATGACACTGGGAGAAATGATTCAAAAGAGGAGGAGGGACTTGGACTAATTCTTGTGATGCTGTGCTGAAAACTAAGTATGAATGAAAAGTCCATGTTGCACCGGAGGGAGTTGTTATTATGCATCATGCACTAAATTAGCTGTATTACTAGTTTCATAAGAAGGCTTTAAAAAATTATATTATTATTATTTTTTATAGAAATCGCAGTGAAGGAAAGTATGCCTTGTGCACGGAGTTTATATTTATGCGTCTTTGCTTATGGTGACACATTACATAACTTTGTGGTCTTCCTAAAAGTAAGTCATTACTTAGTGTTGTTCCCTGTTTATTGTGGATGTGTGGGTGTATAAATTTGGAGCAAACCAACTTTTGGCTTTATTTGCAAAAGCAGGTTGCCCTTAGTTTTGAACTTGTGTTTAGTACATGACTGTTTGAGCGTTTACCATTTCATCAAGCAATGATCCCTCCAAAAAATAATTGATGGACCTACGGGGGTTCGATGTCCTTGCTTCATGGTCTACCTACATCCATGATCCATTAAATTGAAAATATGGGTAAACCTTTTAGAAAATAGGGAAAAAAAAAAACAACTGTGTCTTCAACCTTAAATTAAGCCAATTGTCTTTTAATTACATGTGACTATAACTATAGTCTCTATTTGATGCAACAATTTAAATTTTTGTTTCTGTCCTAAATGGTTTGAACACCCGACTGACAAAAACACCGAATCAGACACCATTATAGACTTGTAGTTCAGTTGTTTCTTTTCCAATCCCACCCCCATTTTTATAGTTCAAATCCAGGCTGTCGAATTTGGTCAAATTATTGAGATTCTACATTTTGGAAATTTGAAAGTATAAGGATAAAATATTCAATTTATTTATTTTTGCTTATTTTTTACTTAATTAGCCATTAACAATTATTTGCTATCAGTGGCAAGACTTTGTTGAGTTGAGTTGAGTGGCAAGATTATGTTGCCCATTCTTGTTTAAGCTGTGATTTCGATTGTGATAAGCAAAATTTTCTGCAGTTCTTCTGTATATTGATTGATATACTTCCTGTTTCCTTTTTGCTTGATTTTAGTTGCTTTCTTCTTCTTCTTCTTCTCTTTTTTTTCCCCTGAATAAATATACTTCCTTTTGATCCTTAGAAATTATTTTCTTCTCTGTAAATATGTTGAACTTTGTTACATCTCAAGTGTCTTGAATGTCTTTTGCAGATAATGAGGCCACATTTGGATGAAATTAAGGATGAGATGGAAAATAGGGTATGAGTATCTGAATCTTCTTCTGTATTACAGTATTACCGTATACCTCGTTAGAATATTGACAGTTGTGACTTCATGCTAGTATATGTCATGCACGAGTCTGGACTCTGTTCAATTCCTCCTACCTAGGACTCACTCATTTTTTCAGTTTGCGTAACTGATTTTTCTGGTGTATTACGGTATGCCCCAATAAATGATTTACCATCCAATGACATCATGTTGATACATGTTATGCATAAGTTTTGTACTCTTTTTATTTTTTGTTCTTGGGACATCTCTTTAGTTGAATGATCTATTTTATCGCTATAGTTTTGTATGATCAATACACTCAAATTTTTAGATACCACAATCTGATTGGGTAATGTTCTTTTTGGGTGTGTTTATTGCCCAAAAATAACTAAATGCATATTTGAAAGCTGACGCAAAATTTTTTCCCCGTGTGTGTGTGTGTCAATTTTCCATGAATATTTCATATCTAGCCAGTACATTTTGTATCTGAAAAGAAAATCTTCCTAATATGTTGATATTTCTTCTTTTGTTTTTTAAAATTTCCCCAGGGCATGAGTCCTTCGTCTGTGGCTGAAGGTCAGAAACAAATGAAGGAGCTATTTAAGGAGTATGCGACTCTTTCATGTGCTGATTGGAAAAGCCCATATATCAATTTTTATTTTATTTTATTTTTAAAAAATTTATGCTCCTTGCATCTTTTGTAGCCCCATGACATTTTTCCAATGCTTATAGATGATCTAGTAGATATTTTTTCAGCTTAAGTAAATTAAGACACAAATTTCCATGAAAAAAATGATAAATATATGTGTCGTGATTTTTGTCATTCGAAATCTATTATTTGACAGTTCATCATGCAAATTTATATCTTGAATTGGTGATAAGAACCCTGATCTGCAAGGCCTGTTGCCTGCCTTTGCATTTTTTTTTTTTTTTTTTTGTGTGTGTGTGCATGAATAAGGTAGATATGGTGCTTGACCCAACTCTTTGAAATTTCATTTTGTTATCTTGATCCCCAATTCCTCTTTTTAAGTGCAAGTAATTTATTGGTCTAATATTGATTATAAAACTTGCAGAAGTTCTACACATTTTAGCAAAGTTGGAATGTTAAAGACTAAATTATAGAACTGGTGAAGTTGAAATAATTTAGACGTATCACTTTTTTTTTTCTTTTGAAGGGTAATTTAAATCATTGACTTATTATATAACAATATACGAAATGTAGAATGGGCATTGCAAGTTATATGTCGAACAATGTATATAGCATATAATTAGCTTTACAGGGGCGTACAAGGACTAATTATATTTGTAGTAATGAAAGTTAAAACTCATTTTAGTTCGACAGAGTCTAGTACTAAATATTTGGGATTGGTTACATGGCCATCATATTGTCACTCCACATAGTCGATGTCCTAGGATCTTATTTTAGTCAAACCACATACTATGCCGTCTTCCTTAACTATTCTAAATTCAATTTGATTTTGGTCTTTTCCTATCCCAAGCATTACTCTCACTGTGAAATGTGCTATCTTCAACCTATGCAGTTAATAGTCCTTATCATACATTATCAAACCATCTGAAATTTATCATCCTGATTTTTTTCTTAGAGCTATTTCTTTCATCTCAAGAATGTATTCATTTCTAATTTCGTCATTGCTCTTCTTACCACACATTCATCTCAAGCTCTAATCTTCTCTACATTCATTCTATAGAATATGATCTCTTACCTGCCTAATACTCTGTCCCAGGGATGCTTTATAGAATCTTTATCTTAATCTTATTTATATTCTAGGGTTTCAATTCAATACAAATTGTTTCCCTATAGTTTTTTTATTTTTATTTTTAATTATTATTTTTATTTTTTATTTTAAATTGTTTCCATTGTGTTGAAAGAATTTACTCTTGTAACTAAAATTCCTATGTAAATCATTTTATCTTTTTCAGTTCGAATGTAAGGAGCATTTACTGGTGGTATGTATTTGGGGCATAGATATATCATAAGCAACAAGAAATTATGGATTATAAATCACTTGATTATGATTGGAAAAGTACTTGAATTCTGCCAGTTAAAGTTTTCCTAATTCCAATTGGAAATTTGTTGGGTCCTTTAGGAACAGCCCTTAAAATTTGAATTTTTATTCCTTTTACTTTTTATCAGCTCTTGGTAACTACTATTGCAACTTGACAATTTAAAACAGACTTTTCAAGGAATTAAATATTATTTAATGGATGAAAATGGGAAAAATTATAGTCCCGATCTGTGCAGTAACATCCTTTTGAATCCATTCAATTTGAATTGGTATTTTCTCCATCACAATTATTGTGAAAAAACATCTACAATAATTAGTCTTGGACAGTTTATTTGTGAAAATGTGTATAGCCAAAAATGGACCACATCTAAAATCGGGTTAGGTTCTAATTGTTCAAATTGACTCTTTAGTAATACAATCAGCTAAGCCTTATTTGGCTACCCCAGGAGCAACTGTTCGTGGCCATTATGGGTTTCAGAAGGTGAATTTCTGGAATGTTTCTATTTAATCAAGTTGTTGAGTTTCTATTATAGTAATGCCCAAAATCACTGTTGGCTTGAGTGGTTTTTCCTGTCGCCCTCAAAAAAAGGAAGATGTAGGGTTGAAGTACCAGTTGAAGGTATGTATCTTACTTGTAAGAAAGATATATATATAAACACACAGACACACACATAATACTGAATAAAAGCTTGACTACATCAGAAATAGACTAAAGGCTGATGAGAACAGATTTTCTCCTTGCATGCCTAATTGTTCTTTACCTATCACCGCTGCAGCCTACAAAAACATTTCCGTAGTATTAGTGAACTGGGCACCTAGACGTCAGAAAGGCACATATATAATACTGAATAAAGCTTGACTATAGCAGAAATAGGCTAAAGGCTGATGAGAACATATTCTCCTTACATGCCTACTTGTTCTTTACCTATCACCGTTGCAGTCTACAAAAACGCTTCCGTAGTGTTAGTGGACTAGTGTTAGCCTCTTGACGGTTGTCCAAGGGAAGACATGGGCATTTCAAGGCCATGCCATGTCTTGGGAATACTTTGGCTTTGGTTAGACGGCCATGAGGATGCTCAGTGGGTTGTCAGCGTACACAAGATGCTCAGCGTGCACACAAGATGCTTAAAAGGATGCTCGGCGTGCACTGGGAGTGCCCAGTGGCACTTTCGTAAATATGGTGAAAAATGAAATTTGGAGTTTTGACTCGGGATCTTTATGGGAGGTACCTTGAGTTCATAGAAGCTGGTTGGCGCAGACGGCACTTAATTTGGATGTCGGGAAAGGCCTGAAAGGCCATTATGACTCCTCAAGCATGGGTGATGTTTACTCCTGTCAGAGTGCTGGATTTCCTTAAGACTATACTAGGGGGGGGTCTGTTGATCACATCGGTTGGGCTATGGCATGGCTTGCTTAGAGGGCTTAGCCAACGTGCATGGGCACGTGTTGCACCACTCCAAGATGGTTGCACAAGTGGGGAGCATCCAAGATATTGAAGAGCAAACAAGTGGGCACCGACACGCGCGCTGGTGTGCAGCGGCGCGTGTGCGGGCATGCAGGTGGGCGTGCTGGTTACCAACCTAGTGTGCGCGAGCGTCTAGCTCGGCGTGCGCATGGGCGTACAGCCACGGGCGCATGAGGGTTCAAACATGGCGCGCGAAGAAGGGCACTAGTGTGTGCGCCGGCGTGCACTTTGGTGTGCACCCGAGCGTGCATGGCTTGGCACGCCGTGCACTCAGAGACATATATATGTGGGTGCAGATTGGTGGACTTGGCTTGGGCTAGGTTCACAAAGTTGACTCAGATGTGGTTAGAGCATAGACAACACAAAGTCATGGCTTGCGGTTACAAGAGGTGGTGGCTTAGTGGGCTCGGTCGGTTGGGGGAAGTTACTAGCACTTCCTACTCATCATGGGAAGTGGGGGAGTGCTGAGTAACCTCCCAAGCATGTGGCACAATTCTGAGAGGACCAACACACAGGCGGTTAAGGGTGGTCTCTTCCACTATGCAGAATGTAACTTCTTGTGGTTATGTGGCATGAGCAGAACATGCCAACAAGTCTAGCAGTTGGGCTTGTCAACTGCATTATAGTGCTGGCACATTTGGAGGGTGCCAGCACGACCCTAGGTGGATGGGGGTGTCATCCATCATCTTAGTGGGCAGTTATGGGCGGTTTTGAGAGTGGCCTATATAATGCTAAGGTGGGCTTTGTAGAGGGAACAGAGAGGAGGGTGTGAGCCTTGGTTGTTCCTTGTACGAACTCATGTTCCTTTGTAATATGTTTAATATGAGCAAAGGTTGGGGCTTGTCCCTGTAAACTGTGTGTGCCTTCTTTACATTTCTATACTGTGTATATTGTGTTGTTGTGTTGGTTGAGACTTGGTGGCCCCAAGTGCCATTACAGAGGCAAAAATTCGTGGTGTAATTTAGCCCTGTAACAACTAGGTACCTAGACGCCCCTTTCTGACTAAAGTGTAGTAAATATATGTACATGGAAGAAACTTTAGTTTGGGAAGGGGATAGGGGTGTTTGGGGTGAAGCTTTAATGAGATAATCACAATTACTAACTAACTTGAATATATTTTTACTGAATGCTAGAACTTTTGGAATGTCAAGTAGATTTTGGTACTGGATTGGAATGGAACTACAGGTATATTTTTTGCTTATGGAAAGAAAAGAAAAGAAAGCTGCTCATAGATTTTATTGCAGCAGCTCAGCTGTTAATTTGTCTTGCCTGAAATTTTCGGAATCAATTTATGACCATGCACATTGCTTGGATTACTGTCTAATAAATTGTAGACTCTAGGTGGAAGATCCAGAATGATAGCCTTTGATACATTACTGATTGCTTTGTCACTGAATACTTGTTAAGTATGTTGGCAGGTATCAAAAGAAAATAATTTGATCTAGCTGTGTATTACAGTTTTTCCCTTTTCATGCATAATCCTCATTGTGTTCAGAATTAATTATTGGAAATAGTTTCCCTCATGCGATTCAAACTCAGGAAATAGTTTCCCTCACAGGATTCAAACTTAGGAATACTGTGTGTAAATAAATCTATGCAACCGCCAATATGTTTTATCTGTATTGTTTTTGTTTTGATTCTAAAATTAGGGTCAACTATTCAACAGTGTATATAATTCCCATTCGCAGCCTTTACTTGTTCACACATTTTCCTTTTTTTTTATTCAAATTGTAATTTCAAATTTGGATATTGCAGACATGGTGTTACTCCATGGACTCCACTGAAGGGACTCTTTATCCAAGGCCCTGTTTTCGTCAGTTTTTTCCTGGCTGTAAGATAAATCTCTTCCCTAGATGTAAAATCCAGAAAATTAGTAAATTGCTTCATCTAAAATTTATTTATTTCTTGTGTTGTTACTTGGCACTTATCTGTTCAATCGTTTGCAGATTTCGAACATGGTAGAAAAAGTTCCATCTTTTAAAACTGGCGGAGCATTTTGGTTCACTGATCTGACAACTCCAGATACTCTCTGTATATTTCCAGTTTTGGCAGCATTGACATTTTGGATAACAGTGGAGGTAGGCACCATTTATTTATTTGTTAAACCATGTATCTCAGCTTCCCATAGATACTTGCTCGAGACTTTAGTATCGTTATTATGATTTACAGACTGCATAGGTTCAGACAATGCCAAACTTGTTCAGGTCCAAAACAACCTGAGAGGAATCAAACTGGTCAAACCAATTATAATAATATAAAAAAAAGGATATAGAAAATTTTGTAAACAAGTTTAATAACAGAAATTGGTTTGTGCAGTCATGGACCAAGCTTGGACCTGATTTACACTAGTTGTAGGGAAAATGGAAATTGAGAGTTTACGTTCAATATTTTTTTTTTCTGTGTTGCATGTTCTAATCCTTTTTATCACGTGGAAACCCTTTTTACTAGGATTCATGTGAGAAGGCCATTGAATTATGTACTCCTTTAATAACCACAAGCAACATATTCCTACTTAAGGTTAATTTCCGGTACCTATTCTGGTAGGTCCCCCGCCTCTTCGGTAATTTGTTTGGCTTTAATTTGATAAGATTGATGGGAATAAAGTTTTACATGTTTATTAGGGTTGTGAAAAATGAGATTCCACATAGACTTGTACAGAGGCTGTCATTATTTTATAGCTTGTACGCATTTACTTCTGTTTCCCGACAACTATTACTGCAATAGAGAGCAGGGAGTTCTGCACATTCTCTTGTCTATGCTTTCAGTATGCGGAACATTGTCTAAGAGTTGCCATTGCGATTGGAATTTTGGAGAGGAACTGTATATATATGATGGGCTGGGCACTTCTATTGAGTCGGTGGATGGTTCAGAGTTTCGCAGCTTTTGCCAATAGCTTTTATTGTTCATATGGTAGAACTTGGTGGAAATTTCCGCTTTGGCTACCATAAAACTCGGGGGTCGTTATTATGGTATTAAGCTGATGCCATAGAGTGTAGTTTGGTGTGTATTTTTTATTTTCTTGCCTATATCCTTTCCCGTAGTTTGTGATATCTTATTTTGTTTTCTATGGGGAAACGTGCGAATAGAATTTGAAGGTGGCTATTTTCCACAAATTACTTATCTGTATCCAGTCTTAAGCAACTTCCATATCCAGATGGTATCAAAATCATCTGACAGTTGTTCATGATCCTTCCCAACCACACGCATGTTTGTGTGTGTATTTGGGTATTTGAGATGGTAGTGCTGTCATTTTCTTTTTCTTCTTTATTTTTTAAAATCTGAATATATATTGCCCAATTAATTACTAAATTTCCGATGATATTGTATGTAAGTTGGCAGAATACGCGATCTTTTATCAAATATTATTTCATGGACTGTTACTTTTGTTATTTTATTTATTGTTTTTTAGTTTCTTAGAAGATTGAAAGGCTCTCCTACCTTGAGTTGAACTGAATCAGTACTTAAATACACTTGTTCTGTCTTCCCATTGGGTGTAGATTCTTTTAGCTGTCATGCATTATGTGTTTGAAAGTCTAGAACTTGTTTAATGCAGCTAGTCATTTTGCTTTACGTCATTTTTCACTTTTCTTTTTTGACTAATATCTGACCTTTACTCAGTGCAATGCGCAAGAAGGCCTGGAAGGGAATCCTGTTGCTGGAACCATGAAAAAGGTTTCTAGGGTCTTTGCTGCTCTTACAGTCCCAATTACCATGACTTTCCCAAAGGTATATGTGGCAGCATCTTGTTACCCGGAGCATTATACATTGCATGTGCTGCTTATTTTGTTTAAATCTAGTGACAAAGTAAAGATATTGAATGATTTAATTGGCTAAGTCCAGCTAAAAGGTAAATATTTATCACCATAATCATCATCCTCTTTGCCTTTATTCCATATTAATGTGGTGGTCTGCCGTCACACCAACATCACGATCCTTTCCTTTATCCCAAATGAATAGGGTTAGTTTTGGACCTTTTGGTGGGGCACTTGTCTTACCTATAATACAAACTATTTCCCTTTCTTATTGGTGCATCCACAATAGGGTATATTTTGAAATCAGATTTTACTTTATTCCTTGTCTCCCATGCGTTAAAATGTTACATGTACATGTATATGTATTTCAAATTCTAATAATCTTGTGTTCCTAGCTTAGTAGTAATTATTGTTATTATTTGTTTTGGTAGCCAATGGTGGTGGTAATTACTAATTAGACATTTCTGAAACTATATTTGGAATTATGTTTGTTTATTGAGGCGGCATCATTGGAGAAGGGGAAAAAAAAAAAACAAAGGAAGTAGGGTTTCAATTAGCATGTAATGATGATGAGTTTTTTGAAATTATATACATAGGGCATGAAAGGAAATATAAATTTTCAGGTAGCAGCATGATTGTTAAGAAACTTTTTAAAGATGTGAAATTGAAAGGGCATTTTGGGACTGATGTTTTGCTATCATAATACGTCATAAGGTTTTTTTTTTTCATTGGCAAGAAACACACAAACATCACTCACACACCCACTTTACCCCTTTGGGGACTCGAACCCTCATCATCCACTTTGGGAGGTAGAGGAGATACCACTAGGCCATAAGGACCTTGGTGAGTGGGTGCTATTTGAACCACAGAACCAGTGAATTCATGAGAAATTATTACACGGCCCCATGACCATTGGTCCTCACCAATCACTAGATGACACACAAACAAAAAATTGAATGGTTTTATTCAGATTTTTGCTTGCGTGCCATCATAATAAGTTCATAACAACATAGCTTTCATGATTTTCATAATGTCTCTGCATTAATCGGAGTGTTTTAATTTTTTTTATTATTGGTGGTTATAAGTTCTTGAAGCTCAAAATTTACTTGACTGATTTAATGTGACGGTCTTGTACTAATTTGAATCAATGTCATCTGAATATCAAATGCACGTTTATCTTTGCAGGCTCTTTTTTGTTATTGGGTTACCTCCAACTTGTTCTCACTCATGTATGGACTAGGTGAGTTCTTGTTGCTTGCTGTCGTCAATATGTTCATTTGCTTCTAAAACTTTGTTTTTCTTCACTATTCTGAGGCAGTAGAGGAGCATAGATTTTTTGTTTTTGGTGATGCATGCAGCACCATTCTAGATTTATCTAAGAGAATAATAAACTAGTTTAACAAATATTGCCACGGTTTTCTTTTATTTTTGATTATGTCTTAATTTTTCAGTAATTAAAAGACCTGCGGTCAAGAATTTCTTGGGTGTTCCCATAATACCCATACAACCAGCTGGTACTGCAACAAAACCTTCCCTCTCTTTTGTTGAATCAATCAAACAATATGCAGCAGCAATGCAGAAGGCTAATCAGTCGGGTTCTGCACCTGCTGGATTACCAAAACTTCCTGATCACAGAATATCTTCCTCAGCAGTCACCAGTCAGAGGCTTAGAAGGTTAGAAAAAGAAGTAAAGGGAAGGAAGAAGAACAAGAAGAGGTGAGGAAATGCACATTTTTAACAGATGAACCGTCTTGATAACTGTTTAGTTGGAGTACTTGTGCTTATAAAAATAAATGTAATATTATTAAAATTGGTAATGCGTCTTAATTTATTTAGTCCTGCGGTTGGGCTATAATTTTTGAGTGCTTAAATGGGAAGAGAGAGAGCTCTTTTGATAGATTAATTAGAAATTGAGTAGTAGGTTATTTTGTTAATTGAATTTAGGGAGTTCTCTTACCAAGTCTCTCCCTATGTTGACTGTACTTTGTGATAGTTTTGGCACTAGTTTGATCAATGTAATTCGTTCGTTGTACCAGAAAGAAATGTTTCTTGATCACTAAAATATCAATTAAGAACTGTTGGGTATCATTAATTAGCTCGTGTTATGTTTCAACTGTTTTTCCATGTACTAGTAAATGAATACGCAGAACTTGCTGGTAAGGTTCACCTAATAGTTTTCCTCGTCACAACATGGTTGTCAGGAAGCCTTGGAAATTAAGATAAAAACATCAGGGCCTGTTTGGTTCAAATTCCAAAAACATAATTTTTTTTTTAAATTACTGCTATTGTTATGAGAATTCTTTATTCCTTTCTGAGATTCAGTTGACCCAATTGAGATGTCGTACTGTTATATATATATATATATATAGATATGGAAGATTAAATAAACACATCTTTGATTTGTGGTAACGGGAATGTTAATTGAAACTATGCAAGGAACTAGGACGTTCAATATTTGGGTTATTTCTTTTCTTTTTATTTATTTTACTTTCTAGCAAAGGACTCTTACAATGTTCCTGGAATACTCAAAAAGGAAATGAAATGTGGCAAGAATAACTTCATTGCACCACCAGTGCTGACACTCCTTTAATATGCTATAAGAAGCGTTAACTAGGTGAAATTATTAGATGATTTTGAATTATTAACACTTTTAAAGAAAAAATGACCCTATAAAAATATATTATTATATGAACAATACAAATAAATATGTGGAATGGTCAGGACCATCAAATACTTTCTCCACTTTTTCTCATCATATTTATTATGGAAATTTCTTAGAACTTGGTGTGGCCGTTTCACCGACCTCATCAACTTCATGACGAAGGAAAAGGAAGAGATGCGGGTCAACTGTCCAGTCTGTCACCACGTTGTTGCTTTAGAATTACCACCTCTGATGGTCATAACTTTCTTTAATGTTGAAGAAAAGTCATACTTGGTATATATTTTATTTTATGACTAAAATATACACATCCTCGAAAATGACCTAGAGATTCGAGAGTGACCAAATCCTACTCTCTTTTAATAGTATATGTTACACAAATGGGCAATGTATTAGGCTTTTAGAAAAAAGTACGCATAAACATATCGCATTTAAGATAAGTTCTCACTTCAATCATCATCAATCGAAAACTCTGTCGTGGGATGTTTGGCCAAATTGGCCCCCGGCTGTTATAGCCAAGGATCTCGAGCCTCTTTTTGATTGAGGTGTTTTTGTGTTTTGCTGTTGTGTTTCTGTCTTCCTCGTTCTGATAAAATTAAAAAAAAAAAAATCGAATCGAAAAATGGGTGTGTGTATTTGTATCACTGTTTACTTGGATTGATTTTTTAATTCTAATTTTTTATTTTTTTGGGAATCATTGGCCTAAAAAAAAAAAGATCAAATTGTACGATTTGAATTAATTTTTGATTCGGATCAACTCTACAGATAACATCAATTTAATGTGGTGCATGTACATGGAAATAAAAAGTTATCACTCAATCGACCAAAAAAGTGTTTATATGTTTCACTGTTTGATTTTGAATTTTTGACTTGTACATTGTAAATTGAATTGACCCAATTTTTGTATTTTTCAATATATAATAATCATGGGCATCCAAAAATCGATTTGTATCATCTGAATTAATTTTGAATTGAATTAACTTATAACATCAATTTAATATGGTGCGGTATATAGAAATAAAAGTTATCGATCAATAAATCAAAAAATTGTATTTGAATGTTTTGACTTCTAAATTGTAAATTGAATTGATCCTTTTTCTTACTTTTTATTTTTTATATTTTATATTTTGAATCATTGGCCTCCAAAAACCGACCAAATTGTACTATCGGAATTAATTTTGAATCAAATTGTCTGTTTGAATGAATTTGTATATACACACACATATATTTTGACTGTGTGGTTGTTTCTCAATCTTTATTAGATATCCATACCCAAAACCGCATGGTCTGGCTTGCTTCGTTTTCTTCTTTCTTTCTTTTTTATTTTATTTTATTTTTCAGTCAATTTTATCCTAATTCTAGAACCAGTCAATTATTTTGAATTGGGTTAAGGGCATAAAATTTTATGAACCTTCAGTGCAAATACCCTCATGCAACTAATTTCACTAACTATTTGAAAGTTACTCCCAACTCGCTAAAATGGTATTAATATACATCCAATTTACCGTTTACCTCTTAATAAATAAAAAATAAGAATAACATTGGTTGTAAAATGAAAATATGATACACACAATATGGATAACTTATTTACTATATACGTCAATTCATGGATTTAAAAATGATCGGAGATCATTTGGTCAGCAAAGAAAGATATTATAGAGATTTTAGGTTTTAAAAAAAAAATGTAATTTTTTTATTGCTCATATGCTTAATCAATATGCTATGTCTAGGAAAGAGTGGTCCATTTGAAATTGTAATTTTCCTTTTAATATTTTTAATTAGACAATAGTTAGGTCCTCATTTATAATAAATGAACACATTCTATTTTAATTACCAAGTCATAGATGGTAATTAAATCACTATCTCTGATTTGGTAAGTGAATGTTGATCCACCATATTTGATTTGGTAATTAAAAATTATATGTCAATTTATTATTAATTCACATCAACGGTGACTATATTATAAATTCTCGCTAATAAATTGACATATTAAAAATTATATGTCAATTTATTAAACCTAACTTTCTTGCTTTGGTAAAAAATAAAATAAAAAACCACAAGGGGTATAGCTTCATAACTTCATATGACAGATTAGGATTGAAGTTAAGGGTTAATTTATCATCCTTATCTAATAAAGTCTTACATTAGTTGGTAAGTTATCGATTCAACCACTATATAAAAGGAAATAACAACACACACATACATGTTGTATACTCCATTTTAATGCATTTCATTATTAGATATACCTAACATCAAAATCAAAACCTAATTCCCATAAAGAGTAATTAATACATTGGGTTGGCGAGTTAGAGTTAATAGCCTTATTTCTTCCTTGTGAATTATTTTAATGAAAATTAATATTGATATTCTAGAAATCACAAAAATCCTTCCAAATGCAATGGACTAAAACAATTATGAAGTGCAACTGTGTCACTATTTTTTTAAGAAAAAATATGTTAATTTAAAAAAAATGTAAAAAAAAATTAGTCGGATACATCTCGAAACATTTTATCAATGTGAGTTTTTTATGATGGTTTGCTTTTAAATTTTCTCAAAAAAAAAAAAGAAAAAGAAAAACGAAAAAAGAAAAGAAAGAAAAAGAAAAGAAGTTTCCTAAGCGGTTTGAAAACATCAAATTCCAACCTTACGACAGAGGAATATACTGGTAGGCGAAAATTAAACTCAAACCTTACGACACATGAATATAATAATAATAATAATAATTGTAGAAAATTATTTAATGGTCCACATGACGGAGGAAACGTCCGTGCCAAATACCAAGTTCTGATGAACGGCATGTCCGACTCACGTGTAGTCTATGCGTGCGTGATCCATTAACAAATCTCCATCAGACGATCCAAAATCATTCTCACAAATCAGTGGTCAGAATTAGAACCCATGAACATCAAGTATTCAAGTTTCAGCTGACTTTTGACCGATCTTAAGCTTAACCTAAACACTTAACCCTCTCTGAAAATACACTCTGGTACAGAGTTTGCAACCAGAACGTCACTTTATTCTCTCTCTCCTCTTTGTCTTCAAGTCAAAAACAGCTGCTAGCCTCAGAATTCAGAAGCCTTTCCACTGTGACCACCAATTGCAGAGGAAGGAGGGACAACCATATATATATATATATGTATAGATATTTATAGAGAGAGAGATCGACGATGGCGGAGAAGAACTTTATTATAGAGATCGAGCCTGCGAAGGAAGCAAAGGATGGGAAGCCTTCAAGGGGACCAGTGTATCGCAGTGTGTTCGCTAAGGATGGTTTTCCACCTCCGATTGAAGGTTTGGATAGCTGTTGGGACATTTTTCGGTGAGCTTTCTTTTTTTCTCGCTGTGAAGATCTATAACAACTTTAATTTCAAAAGTGATAAGTTTGATCTGTAATGTATCTGAATCAAATTGCTTTTTATTTGATGTAGTTTCTAAGAACTTGCATGATGTTATGTTTGTACTCTGTTTCGTTTGATTCTACCAAAGGAGATACTGTTTCATGTCTCACTTGATTATGAACAGTGTATATTATGCTGTGAGCATTTTCAGAGAAGCAGACCTTTAGTAATCCTTGTACTGTCTCAATGAATTAGCTTGTGGAAATCAAAATTAGTGTTCATCTGACTATTCGGATTTTGATAAATTAAATGTACTGCCAGTCTATCCCCGCGCGCGCACACACACACACGCGTACACACGTATGACTGTATATATGTACATCTAAATGATTTAATCTTTATACTGCTTAAAGTTTCTTAAATCATTGATTTATTTTGTGGAAATTGAAATAACTATTCACTTGACTACATAGAGATGGATGGCTTAAATGGACTATTGAAAAGCGAGTACAATCAGAGACGTGTGCATGCACGTATTTTTTATTTTTTTGTAAATGTGTTTAAATACTTCTTTTAAATTTGACATCAATTTTTTCTGTTCATAATCCAACAAAGTGTTAATGTCATGTTACAGCATGTCCGTAGAGAAATATCCTGATAATAAAATGCTTGGTCGCCGTGAAATTGTGGACGGGAAGGTATATTGTCATTTCAAATATTATGTGTGCTTGTGCTTAATTTCTAGTTTCTGGTTACTTGTTTTTACTTTAATCTAATACCTGCATTGTTGCTCTTGGTTTGCAGCCTGGTAAATATGTGTGGCTAACTTACAAACAAGTATATGACCTTGTAATGAAAGTTGGGATTTCCATCCGGAGTTGTGGTATTGAAGAAGTAAGTGACTCTCTAATAATTTGACCATCAATACAAAATTTGTCTAATATTTTGACCTTGTCTGTTGAGGCTGATCCGAGGGTTGCCCTATCAAATGATAGAGGCCAAGTTTAGATTTAGAAATCTCTCCGGAAGGCCCAGCTTGAGTATTTCCAGAGTTCAAATCTAAATTTCTATTGTATTGATTTGGAACACCCGAACTGGATATCTACCTTATTGGGTGTAATATTTTTAAGCGCGTGTTTGTTTCTGGTGGACTGTAATTTAGCTCTTAAAATATTGTTTGGAGATTCTTCTTTATTTTTCTCTGCTGCTATACTTGACAATTGACATATTGTCGCCTTCATTCGATTGTTTAATCAAACCCATAAGAAGAATTTCCATTTAATCTTTCCTCTTTCTTATTTAATTTGTACACATATCATCACAAATACTTATTCTTAGTACTTTTTAGCTCAAAATACTATCATGTATATTGATCTTGCTCTTTGATGTATTAACTACTGGTTTTAGGGAGGACGATGTGGCATATATGGTGCCAATTCCTCAGAGTGGATAATGAGCATGGAGGTATTTTTCCTTTTCTGTTTTTCCCTTTTTTCATTTTTTCTTATCTAATTATTTTTATAGATTGATGACCATAATCTTATGTTGTCTCATGATTAACATAAGTTCTCAATGTCAATAGTGTTGTTACCTTGTAATATTCTATTGCCGTTGTCTTCATTGCTCGATACTGAGCAGCTTTATTTCTCTCCCTATATTTGGAAAAAAGAAAAGAAAAGAAAAAAAGATGAGCTTTTTAACTTTATGTAGATATTTTTGCTTAATTAGGATTGAATATCTTTCAAATTTGATGTGGCATTATGATATCCTTGATTTACCAACCTATCCCTTTTGGGGCAATGTTGTGGGTGTGCATGTGTTTCCTTGAACTTTCAAACCAAAAAAGAAAAGGTTGATATCATATTTTGTCTTTTAACTAATAATGAACTAGTGTTGACACTTGTACTTGAGGCTATTACCTGAGGCATTAGAGAGATAAATTTAATGTCTTCATCTTCAATTATATCTGTTTCATGATGTGCTTGATGATGATGTACTGTTAGAATGAACCAACTTTTACTAATGCACAATGTTACGAAGGGCTAAGGGACACCGGGGGTGGGAGGAGCTGAAGAAAAATTTAATGTTGTCTGGTTTCTATTTTTAACTCACTGATATAGCAAAGCGCCTTTGTCTGTTCTCAATTCCATTTTATTTTTCTTGTGACTTTCTGCTTATTTTGTGTCCATTGCTTTCCTCCTAGATGTCATTATCATTTATTATTTTTAAAAGGTAGGCTCTGCAGTTCACTTTGTGCTTTGTTTAACACTGAAAACTAATGCAGGCATGCAATGCTCATGGGCTCCATTGTGTTCCTCTATACGACACCCTAGGTAACAACTTTCGCTTATTTGCTCGGATCTATATAATTTTGCGATGTTTTTAATAAAACAATAAATTCATCCAGCTATCACGTAGGACCGAATAAATCGTTATTTTTTATTTATTTATTTTATTTATTTATTTTTTTCAATTGAGCGTTGAAGCAAATATTGTGCTGCACAATTGAAATGCCATTGTTTTTATCTTTCAAGGAATATGATGCGTAATGTAGTGTTGATGAAAGTTCGGCCATTTCTCTTATGTGATTCAGGTGCCGGTGCTGTCGAATTTATCATATGCCACGCAGAGATTACAATCGTTTTTGTGGAAGAAAAAAAGATTTCTGAGGTATCAATTTTTAATTTTTCCTTTTTTTTTTTTTTTTCATGAGAGGTTGTTATGAGATATCTTTTTTTTTTTGGAATAATTTCTGTTTGATATTTTTATAAATATATTGTTATTGATTCCCACATTAAGCCTTAGGCCCCAATATATATTATACAGGCAAGTTATCATTATGGTAGTTTTAGTGTAAGTATGTAACTATTGCAAAGTATGTTGACAATACGGTGACATTTTTTTACATGTTTGGAATATGCGTTCTTATCCATACCTATTCTTTTTGCTTTTTCAGGTGTTAAAAACTTTTCCTAACACAACAAAGTACTTGAGGAGTAAGTTGAACTTGGATTCAAAATTTTGTCCGCTTATGCATACAAATTAAGAAATAATATTATATTCATCTCCTTTTGTAGCAATTGTGAGCTTTGGGCAAGTTACTCTTGAACAAAAGAAAGAAGTTGAAAAGTTTGGTTTGGCAATATATTCTTGGGATGAATTTTTGTTATTGGTAAGCTTCTTTTAGTAATGAATTTTTGTTATTGGTAAGCTTCTTTTAATTCATCTTATTTATACTTTTCTCGTTATGTGAAGTTTGACTTCATTGATGCATTTCTTGTATCACAGGAATGTTATATTTGCAATTTTTTGTTATATTTAAGTCATTGCATTTTTAACAAACTGCCATTCATATTATTCAAGTGAGTTGTTTTGCATGATACTAACAAATTTATGGATACATGACAAGGGTTTACTATACAAGTAAATTTAATACTTCTAATTTTCACAATTAAACACTAACTTTACATTACATCTTCTGAGAATGTCAACGGCATGTATTGCTTATTAATAAGAATACAGCAGTTATAAATTATCACAGAAGTAGATTTAATACTTTTAACTTTTCTTAGTTAAACACTAAACTAACAATGTCATTTGAGACAGCATGTACTGCGTAAGCCATCACTGTAAGATCAGGTATCATAAACCAGAACAAGTGGGATGTGATAAAGTAAGTACTAACTCATTTGCAGGTGCTTTTTGTGTAAATATCTTGAGAATATTTACCAAAAACAAGCAGCAATTATGATATTTTTGTTGATTTCAGTGTGTATTGTTTAATCCAATTTTATCCATATTCGATCCGATAACTCATATATGGTTTTGAATGTTTAATCCAATAATCCATTAACAATCCAATCTGGTAACCTTTTTTTTTTTTTGATAAGTAAAAGTAGGAGTATGGTATTGCTAGGTCACTGACCTATTGGTTCAATCTGGTAACCTGTTAGATTAACTAGTCGGATATGCACTAGGTTAATCTATGCTTGCTATCATATTATATGCTAATTCCAAATATCTATCGCAATGTCTACGATGATGACATATTTCCACAAGCATATGCACAATGTATTATATAAGAGTGTGTGTGTAACGACCCGGAAATTATAATACAGTATCCTCAATTTCATCAAATTACAAATACATCAATATACTCCCAGGATCATAAAAAATAATACCCTTTCTTTATACAAAAATCAGATCCTCAAATAGATATACAAAAATCTCCAAATAAATAAAAAAAATCCGCAACACCAGCTCTTCCACTTAACCCCGAAACTAGCAATTCCTGTTCATCTTCGGTACTTGAATTTGGAGGGTGGTGAGGCAAGAAGTCCCAGTAGGAAAAACCATAACAAAAATTTCCAAGAGGTTTCATGAAAATTAGCTTCACAAAATATACATATGCTTTTGAACAAAAATATATATATGCAATTTGAGCAAAATAACAGTCCACAAAATATTTGAAGCAAAATCACCCCAAGACATTCATGGTATAGAGAACCCTACCCATAAAAGTAATTTTCCTCACTGGTTCTGTAAAATCTGAAACTCTCGACCTTCTTTGCATCTCTCGGCCCTCTCCGAACTCTCTATTTTCCTCTATCTTTCGGCCAACCCGCCCCATTTTTCTTCTTTTCATTTATTTATCTCCCTGTACACCATCTCACCCATCAAACAATACACACACACACACACACACACACACACATAATATGTGACAAACCAAATCCACCTTCGGTGTAAATGAAACACAGAAGGCAAAATGTAACTAAACCATCACTTTCCTCCATTATCTAAACAATATAAAATAATAAAAGAAATCCCATAAATTAAACTTTCTTATCTCGATTCATTGCAAACAACAAACACACCTGAAATAAACAAAAAGATAAAGCTAACCTAATAAAATAATAAAACAAAATCTCCTCCATTTTAATCAATTATTCAACTCATAAAACTTAACAAAAATCAGCCCACCAATGACTCCAATAATCAATTTTTGACAACTAAAAATGATGAAATAAATATAAATTAAAATCCTAAAAATCCGCGTTGTCACATTCTCCACCACTTAAAAAGAATTTCGTCCCCGAAATTCAGATCCAACAATTTTCGCATATCCGAAAACATCAACAATCACAAAACAAATTTCATAAATCCCTACCCCAGGCGATGTGAGATACCGTGACGTTTAGGATGTTGTGGTAGCTAGACCGTGCTAGTCACCCGCCCACACACTCCGCAACCGTTCTGGTAGCTAGCCGATGCTGTCACCCGACCACTCAAAATAAAACCAACAACGAAACCAGGGCCATATGCCCATTCACAATAACTAACCATCCCCAGTAGCTAGTTAGTGAACAACATCAGCCCACACACACCCGGCTACGAGTGGTAGCTAGCTGGTACTAAACACTCGCCCACTCAAACCCGTTTACATCATCACTACACACACTTCCGGCTGGGTACCGGCTCTGATACCATTCTGTAACGATCCACTCCACCACATGGCATGATGTTGTTCGCTTTGGGCCCGAACCCGCACGAAAGTGACGACTATAACAGCCTTAGGCTCTGTACTTTGGATTGTACAGCCTATTGGTGCCACCCGTTTCTTGTGTACGAGATTGACCTCCATTTTGTGGACCCAGTGCAACCTCCTTTCCTCTCAAAGAAATGAAAGGTGGAGAGGATGATCTTGAAGAGGATCCTAAGGAGGAATTTGAAGAATGAAGGTATGTAAATTTCAAGGACGAAATTTCTTTTAAGGAGGGTAGAAGGTAATACCCCAGAATTATATATAATATATGTATATATATGTATGGAAGATAAATTATAGACATTGTCTACGTGGATAAATATTGTAGTTATCAAGGTGATTACGCTATTTAAATAATAGATAAGAGGTTACCATATCATTTAATTGAGCTTTATCTAGTTATTTAAAAATTCAAAAGAGTTCTTTTTCAACTCAATTACTGGATATATATCTATGTTAAGGTAGATTTATTTGTGTTGGCATTACCTACGCTAAAGTGCAATCAGGGGGATTCTACACGGTCACTGTGCAGAAGCAAAGAAGCTTATAGCAAATCCCTAGAATTATATCATACCATGTGATAGAGTGGGTCGTACAATGTGTGTGTCTATAATATATATGTAGAAAGAGAGATTGTGTTCAATTATCATATTTTTGTTGCATTGGGGCTTAGGAGTTTTTCAAATGAATAATACTTTGTGTTTGGGGAACTTCTGGTCTCATCCCAAACAGGCGGTGCTTTTGTTAGTTTGTAGCAATGTTAAATTACTCGTCAAACCATTACGTATGTAGACCTTGATCAGTGAGAAAAAGATTCATGTCTCACCCTCAAATTTTTTGAAGCTGACTGAGTTTGCTTTTTCTATGGCACATCATTTTTCTACAATTGACATACAGATGGTCAATGTAAACATAAAGGAAAATAAAGGCACAGCTCAAACAAAAAAGGTCTCCTGGATATATAAGCGAGCTCTTGACAAATATGCATCAGATCAGACTATTGACGATTCCGAATAGTTACGATTAGTCCATATATTTGTTTATTTATTTATTTATTCTTAAATTGCACTTACCTTCCTAATTTTAAGCAAATTTACATAGACCTCCCCTTTGTTGTAAAAAATTACACTAACATCCCATGTTAGAGATGCTAGTTTGACAGCATTAAGTGTTCGTTTATGTTACTAAAATATCCCCAGTTCAGACTTCCGTCTGTCTAAGAACTCTTGCCATCTTCGTCTTCCTCATATCTTCTTCTTCATTTCAACAGCCCCAATACACACACACAAACCAATTGCATTTATCAGAAAAGTGGATAAATTATATGGTAATTGTGGATTTAAGTCCTGGGTCTTGAGAAAAACCTTACTGATCTAAGGCCAATGAGGGAGCAAATCAGGGAAGAAGCTCTGTGATAAAAACTGTCTACAGTCGCACAGCCAGAATGGGTTCTTCATTGAACATCCATTTTTAAGAGATCAAATTATTATATACTAAATGGATGATGGTTGATCTTTGATAGGCTTGATGGCAAGCGGTCCAATTGTGTTGCACCACTGAATGAATCGATTGCACTAGATTGCATTGTAGACATAGTGTGTTTGTGTGTTTCTATATAAGTATACTATAATGTGTGTGCAGATATATTATAGCATACCAAATAAGCACTATCCATCTCTATCCAATCACCGGAGTTTGGGAATTTCCCTCCTCTAACTGAACTTGGGTGGCCTCCATCAATGGTTGCCACTGCTCTCTGCAATTCTAAATCCATAACAATTGTTAGTGATTTTTGACAAAAAATAATTAGTCAAAAGCTCCTCACCTTCAAAGACAAAGCTACATTGTTGAAGAACTGAACCCAGATAGCTTCGATGACATCAACATTGCTGTTTGGGGGGTCGAACAAAGTCTTCTTTCCTTGTCTCTCTTATCCTACCTATCCAATCAAACAAGATTAACCTGTGAAGTAATTGAAGGAATGTGTCTAAACTTGCCACTTGGCAGCTTCCTTATGAAAGCCCTCCTCTTCTTTTTACTGATATGTACGGTCTGTCCAGGCTTTCTCCGGTGAGAAAGCAAACTTGTTTAGATTGGCTTCAAATTTCACTTCATTTCTGAAAAGAACGTCACAATTTAATTCATTCATAATTTTTAATAGTTCTTTTTAATCACTATAGTAGATTTTTGCTTTTCTTCATATATGTATGTGTTTGTGAGCGCATACGTATATATATATAAATTGGTGAGGTAGAAAACCAAGTTGTGAAGGAGTGGACGAGGAGAAGTGCTCTATGAGGGCAGTTGTTGCCCATGTTAGTTATATCCATTCCAAGAAGCACAAGCCATCAATCTTCAAGCAGTTCTCCTTTTCCATTTCAAACAAACTCTACCCTAAATCAAGAATCATATAAAACAGTTCTACCAATAGAGGGTAATAGAATCATTTAGAATTAGTAAATGAGGTTAAAAATGTCTGTGTGCAGTACAATGGAATATTGGAAGTTTAAACATTTCAATGCCTGAAGTAAAAAAATTTATTTTGACTTGCCCTGACCATTAAGGGAGGGTGTAAACTTTAGGCTAAATTACATTGACCTCCCCCGAGGTTTGAGTAAATCTCACACAGATGGAGTGTTAGACGTTTATTACTTTGACCTCCCCCGAAGTTAAGTTCGTGTGCTCAATAACCTCCCTCTCGTAAAAAAATATTCATATAAGGACTGAAATACCCCTGATTTTGTGTGAAAAGACAATAATAGGCTTACAAATGCCATAAATATTACAAGTTTACTATTATTGTCATAAAATTACAATAAAACCAATAATACCATTTCATCCTGTGGGTCTCTTCAAATGACCCACCTCACGCCACCACAACTCTTCGTCTCCAACACAACCTAACACCACCAGAACTTGCCATTGCCAACCTCCCACCACCGCAACCAATTTCTTGCCATCAATAAATTCACTTATACATATAAATGATTTATTTTTTTAGTAAGTACAAAAGTAAATCTAGAGCAAAAAGAGTTTGTACCCATGGTTGCTGGTAGAAGTACTTCACTGATCTAGGTTTTGAGCACTCTGAGGAAGACAGAGAAGAAGCTGTGGCAACCACTGAGAAAAACCCTATAAATGAATATGTATGTGATATATATATATATATATCAAACATATGTATTATATATCAAACATTCAAAACAAACTGACATTCAAAACAAACTGGGTTTGTTTGGAATGTTTTGTATGGATTATGTATTATATATCAATATATACACTCCCCTGTCAATGTAGAAAGTAGTGCCTGATATTAGTAACCAAACTGCCATCCTCTGGTTGACCAACTGCTACATCGCCATCTCCTCCATCAACATCAACAGGAACATCTCCATCACCGGATAAAGAATAAAGATCTTGTGCTGGCGTTAAAATTGCCGAATCCGAATAATATTCTCTTAACAGTTCTCTAAAATTCTCTCACCAATCCCCACACACACACACACACATATGTATATTAATTGGCCATCATCTTTACTGGTACCAATTTTATTGTTCCAAGCTTATCAATATATAGATATATCTATGTGTATATGTAAGACTTGACATAAGAAGGGGCTGATTGGGTCGATCGGAGGCTGGGTTTGGTAGCCTTGGAATCGCAACTGCCACGGATTTGGTAAATTATTCAATGCTTTACCCTAATTTGATTGAAATTGAAGCTGATAAAGGAGAGTGGTGGTTTTTTCTGGCAAACATGGGGCCAACGAAGCCATGCAACAGAGGAATTAAGAGAAGACATTCTGGGTTTTATGTGGAGAAAATTAAAGGTTTGGAAGGCTAGGAAGTTCCATGAATGGACTGGATGGGCTAGATTGAGAAAGTTGGAGTGAGTAAACCGGCTTGATTTAATTGACAAGCGTTGATCTCATGGCAACAAACAACGATGGTGTGTATATAGTCTTTTTACGGCGGTCGGATGAGGTGGTGGTGTTAAAAGATGGTGGATAGGAAAGAGAAGAGAGGTGGTCACTATGGTAGCGGTGGGGGAAATGGCCGGAGGTGATGGCAGCGGTGGAGAGGGGAGAGAGAACGCAGAAAGAGCAAGGAGATATGAGAGAATAAAAAAATCTGAAAATGGTTTAAAGTTGCCGCCCCGGGGGGGGGTGGGGGGGGGGGGGGGGGTTGTACCGTCTTTTCATAAGACATGATTTTTTTTATTAATATATTATTAATAATGTAAGGGTATAATTGACTTTTCACACATTGTAGGGGAGGTCATTGTAATAAGTCTCAAATGCTCCACCTATGTGAGATTTGCCCAAACCTCAAGGAAGGTCAGTGTAATTTACCCTCAACTTTATTAAGATTTGTTTTTAAGAGAGGTCGGTGCAACTTTTCAATACATAGGGGAGGTCCGTGTAATTTTGCTAACATCAGGGAAGACAAATCAATTTACTTTTTATTTTGTATTGTTTTGGCAAAGTAATTTAACCTTCGTTTTTTATATTTTTCTTATGTGGGTTTGAATTTGATAAGCCTAGTCATCATGGGCATTGTAATCAAAGTGTTATCCTAGTTCATTAAGGGCATTGACATAGTTTTGGAGCACCTATCAAAGAAATGGATCTGGTCGTGGCACTTGTTCAGCACTTTAGGTTTGAGATTTCACCACTGTTTTATAGGTTCACCAAGTGCTGCAGATGTTAATTTTCCAATGGTGACAATATCTGCAATTTGCAACAAATATTTACAATTCAATTAATTGGTTTCCAAATGCTGAACATGCACACATGCTCATTCAACATTTAGCAGCTATTAGATAGCTGTTACACCTCACCTGCACATGCTACTAATGCTATTAGGTAGCTATTAATGTTGAGTTTAAATTTTGGTGGGCATGCAAATTGTACATTGGATCCATTTTGTGTGTGGCATCTAAAGGAGTTAGAAGTTTATAATGTGTATAAAATTTTCTTTATAGTTTTGACACTTCACATGCAGTGGATCACTCTATAAAAAATTGCATTATCTGGAATCTATGATTTTGTCTTGTGTGTTTGAATTAGGAGGTAAAAATTGCATCTGAATAGTTAGCGTTAGCCCATCTTATACCAAGTTCAACTATGCACAAATAAATACATGAGTTGAATGTGACAGGTTGTCATTCTGATATCATTCAGTTTAAAGAATGAACTTATTGTTTATTTATATATATAAAAAAGTGATCTATATAGAAATCCTATTTGTTTTTTTTTATTAATCTAAGGTAAATGATATTTTTGTTAGTATTCTGACTTAAAACTTGTATTTTTTTTTATTTGCAGGGAGATAATAAGCAATTTAATCTTCCTGTAAAAAAGAAAAGTGACATTTGTACAATAATGTATACTAGTGGAACGACTGGTGACCCCAAAGGTGTTTTGATTTCCAATAATAGCATTGTTACTCTTATAGCTGGGGTGAAGCGCCTGCTAGAGAGTGTGAATGAAGCGGTGATTATTTCCTCATCTTCCATTCCATTAACAAAAATACATGCCTTAAATTGAACTTGAGATTTGAAGCTTTACTTGTTGCATTTATAGAGATAAATATATAGCGCAGATTAATTGATCAATTATTTTTTCCAATTTCTGACTCCATACGTTTCGGTGAAAATTTTACAGTTGACTGTGAAGGATGTTTATCTTTCTTATCTTCCTCTGGCACATATATTTGATCGGGTGATTGAGGAGTGTTTTATCAATCATGGTGCCTCAATAGGATTTTGGCGCGGGGTAAGATGTCTTCCAATTATTTTCTCACCAGACATGAGTTCACTTTAACAATTGATCATTTATTGAATCTTTAGGACGTCAAATTATTGATCGAAGATATTGGAGAACTAAAACCTACTATTTTCTGTGCTGTTCCTCGGGTGTTGGATAGAATTTATTCAGGTGAGCTTTCTTTTACCCATGATGTGCTTGTGTCCAATTGTTTGCATTTATATAGAAGGGATACATTCAAAGCATTTGATGATGGCCTCTCTTTTGTGTTTATCCTTATGTTTCAGTTTTTAAGGTCCATATTCACAGTCTCACAATCATTTTCTTATCCACAAAATATTCAAATGATCAAAATTTTCAATTTTATTTTTATTTTTTATTTTTAATCTTTTTTTGGTTATGGAATCTCATAGGACTGTTGGCATCTGAAACCAGAACATAATCAATATTTCCCACTTGTTTAGTAAGGATAAAGTTCCCCTACTTGTTTTCTCTTTCTGATGCAATTTGACTCCGAAGTGAATGCAAAAGATTTTGTTTCATGTATCTAAATGTACTTAACTACTGTTCATATTGTAGGTTTGACACAAAAGATTTCTTCAGGAGGTTTCTTGAAACACACACTTTTCAACGTGGCATACTCATAGTAAGTTCTATTGCATCCTCTTATCTTTATGAGGAGAAAGGAAGAATTTGAGATTCTTGCAAATAACTAATCATTCCTTCACATATCAACCTTCTACTGTATCTTTTGTTCCAAGTTGCCTTGTTGACAAAATTGCGCACACAACAGATTTGGACATTTGGTCACTAAATAATCAATGTTTTCAATCTGTTAGCATATAATTTGGGGACATTGCTTGGTGCATTGGTAAAATACTCGGGTTGTAGACTCTGAAAGTGCTGGTTTGAGTCCTGAGAGCTACCACTTTGTGCAAATAATGCAAAAGGTAGGTCTGTATGTATTTGGTCCACACCTCCAAGCACCCTCAATTAATGGGACCACACTGGGTAATGACCTCTTTTTCCATCTATCAGCTTTGAAAATTTTCACCCACATATTTCTTCCGGTTGGAGATGTTCAGGATATTTCTTCTTTAGCGGAAGTCCTTGGTTGTAGGGTGAGTCCTTTTCCAATTCTCTATTTGGGCTTGCCTTTAGGGGTTTCCTCTAGAACGGTGGGGTGTTGGGACCTTGTGATTGATAGGTATGCGAAGAGATTAGCAGGATGGAAAAAGCAATACTTGTCTAAGGGAGGGAAAGTTTCGCTTATAAAGAGCACTTTATCGAGCCTTCCCACATATTTTCTATCTATGTTCCAAATTCCTTTTTCTGTTGCTGATAGGATTGAGAAAATTCAAAGGGGAGAGGTGATGAATTTAAGTATCACCTTGTCAATTGGGAACAAGTTTGCAAGCCAATGAAGTTTGGTGGTCTTGGTATCAGAAGACTGGTCCCCTTTAACTAAGCTCTTCTGGGTAAATGGTTGTGGAGGTATGGAAGGGAAAGACATCGCCCTTGGCAAAGGCTTGTTTCATGTCGATATGGGGAAGAGAGTGGTGGTTGGTCTACTCGTCCGGTTTCTCTTGTGGGAGGAGTTGGGGCGTGGAAATTCATAAAGAAGGGATGAGACACTTTTTCTACTCATATCAGATTCAAAGTTCATGATGGCAGATGTGTACGCTTTTGGGAGGATCTTTGGTGTGGAGACCGGCCTCTATCTTGTTTATTTCCCAGGTTATATAGTATTGCAGTTGATAGACTTGCCTACGTAGCCAACTGTTATCAACTTGATAGCAGATGGATTACGTGGGACGTGCGATTTCGACGCTCTTTTCAGGATTGGGAGGTGGACGAGGGATGTTTTTTCCTGGATTTGTTGTATCGACAGGAGGCAGTTGGCAGAGGCAGTGATGATATGACATTGATTCCCTCTTCCCATGGTCGCTTTGAAGTTCGTTCCTTATTCTTATGTCTTTCTGATTTTGATATTGTTGATTTTTCATGGAAGACTATTTGGCGTTTTATGGCTCCAACTAGAGTGGCATTCTTTGTTTGGACCGCTGTTTGGGGTAAGATCCTTACGATTGATAATCTAAGGAAAAGGGGCAATTGTCTTGTTAACTGATGTTGCTTGTGCAAACAAGATGGTGAGTCAGTTGCTCACATTCTCATGCATTGTCCTATGGCGAGGGATTGTTGGAATCTTATCTTTTGTCTGTTTGGTATGCGTTGGGTTATGCCTAGTTATCCTAAGGATTTGATTTGTATATGGAGAGGATGCCGTGTGAGTGGCGCTGTTCGCAATTATTGGAGAGTTGTGCCACATTGTGTTTGGTGGTGCATTTGGAAGGAGAGGAATAGTAGAATGTTCGAAGGGAAAGAATCATCCACGGCGATTCTGAAACTTCACATCATACGCTCTCTTTTCAGTTATGTGAAGAGGAAGTCCTGTTCTTCTTCCGAAGATTTAATTATTTTTTTGGCTTCTTTGGGATCTTAATCCCTAGTTCCACTTTTGTATAAGGGATGCGTTCTCCTCTTGAACGCCTATTTTATTTCAATTATTACTTATAAAAAAAATATATACATTCACCCAGAGTCAGACCTCATTTCAATTCCCTTTTGATCCTCAAAATGTTCATCACGTATGCTATACTCCCACAAACTTGGACTTGTTGCGAGTTCTCTAAAAGGGACAAAAGGAGGATCCTTGAATCTTTACCAAAGGTGCAGTGCAACACCTAGTGTTTTTTACACTTCTAATTATTCCTTCACACATGTAATGCTAATTGATTAAATTTTAGAAGACCCCCCCTCCTCCCCTCCATCTTTTTTCATGGTGCCTTTCCCAAGACAAATCCTGCTAGTCTTTTTCCAGACACCCATCTCCTCCCTGTCCACTCCCCCATTTATTTGTTGAATAAACTATTCCTTTCAAGCATATACCTCCAACCTAGCTTCTTAATACTCTATTGTGAGCACACCACATCATAATTAAACAAATGATATTTGAATTCATCCCCATTCCACCCTTAAAAATCCTGTTTGCAGCTTCTCAAGCTTCTTTACCGCTGAAGCTGGGATTTTTAAGTGATGAATAAAATACGTTTGGAGGCCAGGAAGAATACTTCAGAAAGGGTACTTTATATAAGTGTCAGTTTACTTTACTTCGTTAAGTACTGCTTCCTTCGCCTCGCTAGTATATTTTCAAATTTTTCCATGGCGACGTTCCAAACTGCATTAATACAATTTTTTATTTTATTTTTGAAAGTTCAAGCAAACGTGCACACACCCACAATATTGCATTTAGCAGGGCTCAAACACTAAACCTCCCCTTTGGGGCAAAGGGGAGGAGAGATCATACCATCTGGGCTAATGCCCATTGGTACACCAAATATGATGTTGGAAGGGATCGTACACCAAATACCCTCTAGGAACAGTTTCCTACTTGTGGTCTCAAGATAAATCTCAGTAGAAGCTTGTCGTCACTTGTTGTCTCAAAGTAAATCTGCTGAAAAAACTTAGTATCCCCAATTTAATCTCCTCCTTTCTACTTGATTCCTCTCCACTGATGATGTGGCTCGTATGATGTAAGGTGCGCAGTGCGCTTTGCGGTTTTTTTGACATCTGATTTTTGTTTGCATGTTATAAATGCTGCAGCAAATTACGTAACATGAGGAAGGGTCATAAACATGTTGAGGCAGCTCCACTTTGTGACAAAATTGTTTTCAGTAAGGTAATGGACGTATTCTTGTAGCAGTTCCTTTGGTTTCTATTTACTTAATTTCCTTCTGTTTATATTAGCCTATTCTTTACTGTGACGATATTAATCTTCTCACTGATTCAGGTAAAGCAAGGACTGGGAGGAAATGTACGGCTTATTTTATCTGGAGCAGCTCCTCTTGCCTCCCATGTAGAAGCTTATCTACGAGTGGTGGCCTGTTGTCATGTACTTCAAGGATATGGTATGCAGAACTCTATAATTAGTATTTACCGTTGAAGTTGTCTTCATGCCAATAACATTGAAATTTAAATTTTGCTGGTTCTAGGGTGGATTTTCATTGTTTCCAGTTCTAGTTTTGGCAGCTTGCTGGTTCCTTTCTCCTTGTTAGTGCAACTATACTTGATACAGATGATTTATAACTCTTTTAATTGAAGACATTAGCAGAACTCCAGGCCATTTCCCTCCCATTTTTTTTTCGCAATTTCCACTTTCCCATTGTACGCATGAATAATCAGTAATTGCTTATTGGATTGACCATTATTTTGATACCCAATGAGATTGACCTAGCTGGTTGAACCACTTCGACTTGCCATTGTCCTCTTGCTTGACTGTTTGAGTTAATCCATCCCAAATCCATTAAATCCAAAATTCAAGCTCATTGATTTGTTAAACTGTTTACCTGTTGACACACGTGGGTCAATTAGTTTGATTGGAAAATTATGTCACTGAATTCCAAAAAAATTATGGAGTCTTGTTAATTAAAATGGTACCAAGGGCTCCTCCTTCCAAATGAAATGTTAGAGGGTTTGGATCCCCAATGGGACAATAGTGGGTGTGTGTGACTTACCTACCAAAAGAAGAATAGTAATAAAAAATAAAAAAATTAGTAGGATATTTCTGAGTTTTTACAGATGTGTTTTTTTTAATGGTCCAACTTTCTTTATTATAGGTATATCAGTTACTTTAGACTATTTTCTTTACTCTAAATTAATTCTCTATTTTTTATGTGTAAATAAATATGAATTATTTATATTGTAACCTATGGACCCGATTGGCCAATTCAGTTGACCTGCATTGTTTTTGGATCCATAGGTTGACCAAGTCACATTTTCTAATTAGTGATTGGACGACCTTGTATTAGGATGAGTTGACTACCTTTCTCAACTATTTTACATATATATATCTGTATTGTTTTTGTATGTATATCTTAATTGTATAGTGACTTGTTACATGGACTCTTCAAAAGTAGTGAAGTACCTGTGTCGGACACAAATCCCTTAGACATGGGTATGGGATATGTGTCTGACACTTTTGGTTGGACATGTACTTCAAAAGCAATCCAATCATTCAATTACATTATATTATTACTTTAAAATGAGTTAAATACATATATTGAACATTATATTAGATAAAAACATTACTTTACTCTAGAAAATAAAATAAAATAATTAATAAAATGAATATTTAGCCGTGTTCGTGTGTCCTTCTATTTGGAGATTTGACACGTCCGACACATGGATGCATACCCGTGTCTGACACCCATACCCGAGTCCATGTAACACGTATAGTCAAATTGGATTCACCTTCTCCAACCAATCAATCTGCTGCCATTAACCTAACATGATTTTTCACTCATATTACAATGGAAAAGACTTTTTGTCTTGTTGATGCCTTGACAATTAATAGTAGCTGCTGGTATGCTCTCGTATTATACAATTTTTTTTATTATGTTCCCACTCTGAATATAACTCTTATGACATACTATAGCAACCCAGCCTGCAATATTTACCTGTGTCAGTGAGGGTACCTAACAAGGGTACACCAGCATGTCAGAGAAGTCACAAAGATAAGAGAGGAGAGAGGAAGAAGAGGGTGATCATCATGTGCTTATCTACTTTTATTCTTTCTCCTCCTCTTTTTCTTTTTATTTATTCATCTGGGAGCTTTTTGTTTTGCGGGTGGAAGGGTATTTACATGTGAAGGATAACCAATGAGATGGAGACACGTAACTAATATGTTGAGAGTGACACTCATCTCATTATCCCTTTCCACCATTTCCTCTCGAATGTGTAAATACCTAATATGCAGAAGCAGTAGCTCGCTAGATGTAGGAAGATGGATCTCACAAAAGACAATGCCATACTGCAATGTCCCATACTGCATTAATCCTAGCAAGTAGTTCTCTCTAGGCCCACTGAAACCTTCAGTGAATAATTGCCTACAAGGTTCGTATGTGAAAGTATGGAACCGTTTGCCTAGATGTAGATATGTTCATAGTGTGGAAGCTTCTGGCATATGATACCTAAAATCCAGTTGTTGGTAGCTGTGGACATATATAATCAGTCTCTCTCTCTCTCTCTCGTTCTATTTCTTTTTTATTTTATTTTATTTTTTATTTTTATTTTTATTTTTTGTGGATTAAGAGATCTACCAGAGATGCATTCTTGTTTTTTAGGATTATTGGAACAAGCATTGAGTATTTATTATTACAAATATATATTATATCCTGATGTGTAAGGATTATTTCTTTGTGCAATGATAAAAGCTCCAGCTACAAGCATGATAGATACATGTGCGAGTTTGAGAGTAGCCAATTTGTGCTAAATAATGTGAAGTAAACTGGTTGATCAGTTGGCTTCAAGTGTATGTCCTATTACTATATGATGAACCTATTTTCTTTTTGATAAACATGGTGCAGGTCTGACAGAAACCTGTGCTGGATCATTTGTCTCACTACCAAACGAATTGGATATGCTTGGAACAGTTGGCCCGCCGGTCCCCAATGTGGATGTGTGCCTTGAATCTGTTCCTGAGATGGCATATGATGCCCTTTCAAGCACACCACGTGGAGAAATATGCATAAGGGGTGATACATTGTTTTCGGGGTACTACAAACGTGAGGACCTCACCAAAGAGGTCTTGGTTGATGAGTGGTTCCATACAGGTTTTGCCTATACTGATATCTTGAATACATATGTTGCCAATTTGTTTGTAAATTGCTTTCTTAATCAGCATTGTTTACAACAATACTTGCATCAGGGGATATTGGTGAGTGGCAACCAAATGGAAGCATGAAAATTGTTGACCGCAAAAAGAATATTTTCAAGCTTTCACAAGGAGAATATGTTGCTGTTGAAAACTTGGAGAATGTTTATGGTCTTGTTGCAGATATTGACTCAGTATGCCTCTTTAACTGTTGTGAATATATGCATCTAAATATGGAATATTGTCTTGTCTATGACATTGCCTTTTTTTTTTCTCAGTTATCTAAAAAGAACCTCATTTAGATATTAATATTGCATTTTTACAGAGAAGCATGTGAGGGGAAAATGATATTTTACTTATAATTGTTCAGTATTTCTCTCTGCTATACTGATTGTATACAGAAATGTGAGGAGTTGGTTCGTCTTGTATATTGACTCCATCTGCCTCTTTAATTGTTAAATGCTTTTTGTGTCTGATCTTGATTTCATATGCCTCTTAATTGTCGTCAACATTTTTCTTGCTTTAATCCCCCCTAATATGTAATCTGTGCATTTCTGAATAAATTTCTTTTCCTCTATCCACCAAACTGATGCTGAAAAATATTAGAATACATGGGAAAACCTTGATATAATAGCTCTTTACTTCAAGCACACACCTTCAATACATGCAAACTCTCATGGAGACCATCACCAACTTATGAGGAAACCAGCATGCTATATCAAAAAAACCTGCAAGCTTTAACATATTTATTACAAAATCCAAAAGATACTTTTCCAAAGATGGATTGATCATTCCCATCATATAACCAAACAAAATGCAAAATATTGCTGTTAATCTTAGTAATGGAACCCTTCATGCCATCAAAAGATCTCCTATTTAACTCGTCAAAGCGGGGCTGTTAGACAAGTATTCCTTCACTTAAACTCGAGTGCATCTTCACCACCAATTGACAACACCAATTTTATCCCAAAGAGTTTGTAAAGTAAGGCCCAAAACCTCCTACTTAGTAACAATGAAGAAGCAAGTTATCCATCAAGTCCGCCTCTTCCTTACACATTGAATACCTGTCAGGATAGTATTCCCTCTCAATCTTTAGATAGCATCCTTTAAATCTCCCATAACACTTCAAATCAAAAACTGCCACCTTAAGTGGCGCTTCTCTCCAATTACTTTCCAAGGAAAAAATGCCTATGTAGTCCCAGAGCAAGGTGTGTAGAAATGTTTACCTATAAATTTCCTGAATCTGCAACACTCTCTCACCTCATCTGCCTTTGAATTAAGCATGCTATGCAAAACAGCGGACGGTTCTACCACCTCTTCAATATCCCAATCTTGACAGGCCTTTAAAATTGTATTATCTCAAATCCAAAGGCTCTCCACCCCGCAAACCGCTAGATAATTTTCCTTTGAGGCCTCCCTATCTACGATTATCCAATATAACATCGCAAAAAGTTTTCCCAATATAACCACCGGGAGTTCCTGGCTTGCTGAAATCTTACCACAAATGGACCTAGTTAAAGGGTTGTCCATACGGTCGTATACTTCTGCCTCCTTCCTCCATCGTCCACTGTCTTTGCTAGCCTACTACTGAATGCTTTCATAATGTGGATAAACAACAGAAAGTATAGAGATTCCTCTGTCTCGGATTTTGCTTGAGAAGAGAAAAATCTTGCCTCCCATTTACTAGCACTGAGAATCTAACAGTTGGGCGCATGTCTTAATACTTTTCCTCCATTTCTCACCAATGCCTGACATGCAAGAGAAAAGCCTAATTCACATGATCCAAAGGTCATTCTTTGTAATGTTTTGCACAATGTCACAAAATCTACTCATAAGTTGATGAGAGGTCACTTCTCTTGCCTCCTCCCTATCCCCCCAAAGATTAAATAAATAAACAGAAAAGTCCAAGTTCTACTGTGGGAAGATGTAGAAATGTGGAAGAGAAATGAGGCATTAACTTGTGCAAAAACCCAGACAAATTGAGCTATCTAAGTAGGACAGCTGGATATTCTTGTTCTTAAATAAGTGCAACTGTTATAATCGTAAGAAGATAAAGTTTTTTCTCTCTCTCTCCTGTGAAAGACTTGGTTAAGTTTTGCTATTATGTAATGGTGGAAGTAGCAAAGTAAAATGAGCCTCATAATTATTCGAAGAGGGGAAAGGCATGTGATTATACACAAGTAAATGTAAATTTTTAGCTGTGTCATTGCAAATGTTGCTAACCTTCCACAAAGACTTTGCTGCATTAGTGTATCTGTACTGTAGTTCTATAGTTGCTGAATCTGCGTCTTGGGAACAATAGTCATGCTATAGTGGATTACACCATTTGTTTTAGTTAATGTGAGTGCAAACCACGCTGGACCTTTGAGGCGTGTTTTTCTTTCTCACCTCTGTAAACAAAGGTTCACTATCTGCACTTAGATTCGACAAATTGTCTATTGTAGTGCAGTAGTACTTGTTAAGTTGTTCTTCCCTCTGGAAATCTGCTTGTATTTGATTTGAAACTCATACTGTCTTTTCAATTTTAGATATGGATATATGGGAACAGCTTTGAGTCTTTCCTTATTGCTGTTGCCAACCCAAATAAGCAAGCACTTGAACATTGGGCAGAAGAGAATGGTGTACCGGGTGATTTTAATTCCCTGTGTGAAAATCCAAAGGCAAAAGAACACTTGCTTGGAGAGCTCGCGAGGATTGGGAAAGAAAAAAAGGTGGGTTTTTTTTTCCTTGTATACCTTATTATCATTTGGTCATGACATGAACTTTGACCCTATTAAAAAGAAAATGCTTCTCAAATTGAAAAATGAAACAATTGATGAGATGTCATCATGTGGGATCCACACTCTATCTTGGTCATTTTTCTTTAGTCAGCTTTTTTTTTTTTTTTGTGGCATTTCTCCAGAAGAAATATATTTTTTCATCTGAAGCTTTAAGTGAACCCAAATACTACTATTTGCAGTTGAAAGGTTTTGAGTTTGTTAAAGCTATTCACCTTGACCCTGAGCCATTTGACATGGATCGTGACCTGCTCACCCCAACATTTAAGAAGAAAAGACCTCAGTTGCTCAAATACTACCAGGTAGCTACTATTAATCCTCTCAGGAAATTATATTACATGCCTTTAGGTTTTGTACAATGCTGTTGTAGAATGACGTTCTACCTGCCATTAAATTTATGGACTGAATTTTTGGTCTTAATGAAATTTTCCTAACCATTTTGTTATATAATCTATGGCACTATACTAATTCAGTAAAAAGAATTATGGTTCAAATTCAGAATTGTCAAGACTGATACTGGTGGTCTGGGCTATTAGCCTATTTGTCCACAATGCTACAGAAGTAACTTTGCTATGGTCTCTAACATAATGTACCCACCTTTTGCTACTGTGTCCAGCTTCTCCCATAATTTAGAATGTATGTACCCTTTTGATGGCCTACTTGTGAGAACAATTGGGCAAACAATTTGTGTGATTGGATGATTTGATCATGTAATTTTGTTCAAAAAAGGTAATGGAATAATTAAGTAACTTCCAAAAAATGGTATCGGAAAAATATGAACATGATGGTTAGATTATAAATACTTATTGAATCATAATTCTCAAGATTTAGCCAAATCGGTCAATGTGATGACTAAAGAACTAGACATGCTATGTTTGACTCTCCTTGGCTTGAGTGACTTGGTGGTTTTGTGGATGATTAGATGCATCTCTGAATGTCAAGCTCAACTAAAAGTGGGTTGGCTGCTCTGCACAACCCTGAAAAAACTCCTTGAATTATGCCAACTTCAACAAATTGCCTAAGAATTGCTTCTTTTAGGAAATACATGATGGTTGTAGACATCCTTTTGATATTGCTGGTTGTTCCCCATCATTTTGCCTCTGTAAATCTTTATTTGCTTGATGATTCATCTTCTTAGCATTAGTCCGTGCATGAAATCTCTTAGACATTCGTTTGCATTTTATGTATCTGGTAACTCGCTGTTGACAAGATTTGTCTCCTTTTTTTTGGTTACATGATAATATATTTATGGCATTCATAGTACTGACCTGGATACTGTCTTACAGAATGTCATTGACAACATGTACAAGAGTGCAAAGTAGCCTGTTGCCTGAGGGTAGTATTCCGTGAGCTACAGCTGTAAAAGGCTTTTTCTTCTATTTGTCCCTACAGTTGCTAGTGGCGTGCTTTTCTTACCTTGGATTTCACTTGTGATTGTACATATGGTATTTATATACCAGATGAATATTTTAAGTTAATTTTTGTGTAATGCTATGACCTGGACTGTAATCTAGACGTTATTCTGTAAATGACGTTAAATATTCTATTATGCAAGCATCTAAAGATTCTTATTTGACTTTTTAATCTGGCAATAAATACATAGGCATCAACATTTTAATCATAATCTTAATATGCGAATGCTTATGTTTGGTTCAAGACTGCTTATTTATGGAACAAAATCAGGGAAGACCAGATTAGTTGGATGCCTTTGCAGCATAGGTAAAGTGATTTATAGATGAATTTGCAGGTGCATCTCATGAATAATTAGTGTCATTTAAATCATAAATTTGGTAATCTGATCTTTGCATAAATTGAAGGTGAATGGAACTGGGCTGTGATTGTAGCAGGTTGGTGGTGGAGGTGGTATTAAGGAAGTGATGCTGAAAGTGAATGTACTGCTTTTCTGCTGTGTTCATGGTAAAAAGTTGCTTAGGGCGAAATGATGGTTGGAATGGTGGTGTTGCTAGGAAAAGGGTGGAAAAGAATTGAGGGGCTGACCGTGAGAGTGGTGGTTGAAATTCCGAAGCCTTGATCAACCTGCTTTTAGGTCAGGCTTGGCATCTGACTTAAGTGTTCAGACCCATAGTTTGGTTGAGGTAGCTCTGTTGATGATATTATAGGGAGGCCAAGTTGCTTTTGGAATGAAAATTACATTTTCTGAGAACTTAGGTCTTGCATGCTTGGTGGTGATCAGTATGTAGTATTTACTTGAATGCTTAGGTGATATATAACTGGAATAAAACCATAATAAGCAGAAAGGTTATAGTGAGTACGACCTCTTTGGGAAGTCTGCACTTTCAGTTAATTGTAATGCTATTTATTTATATTGATCACTTGTCACTATAATTAGCTGAAGGGGTCAAATCTGATTCTATCATGTGTTTAGAAGGCCATCGTACTAAAAATAAATAAATAATAAATAATTTAAGATTTAAAATTAGATGTACATTAAAAAGTTAAAAATAAGTTGTTAAAAACAATGGGTTTTAAATTAAGAAATTACAACTAATATGATCAACGAGAGCTAAAAATAGTACTAGGGGTGGGCAAATAATTTGTAAATCCGATTTTATCCGATCCAATCCGTGTAGATCGGATTGCTACAGTCACAGATTGGTGGCGGATTCATAAAAATTGAATCCGTAGCTTACTGATCGGATCACGACTTGGGCTGTCAAAATCCAATCTGATCCGCAAGATTTATATATATATTCAAAGAATGTATTAGTTAATTTAATTAATTAATGATCATTTAAAAATATAAATTAATGTTTGATAAATTAAAATTTTATCTAGTGGGATATGGTTAAAAAATAAATAATATTGAACAATTTAAAAAAAATCCCATTACGCAGATCCGATTCGTCATTTGACAAATCCAATCTGTTATCTCACGGATTGGTGGTGGATTAAGATTTATCCAATTCGTTGAGAGCGAACTAGATTAGAATTGATGTTTAATCTGATCTGTAATCAACTCTAAAAAATACCCCTTGTTATATATCTGAGGCATTGGGAAAGAAGTACTGTGCTTGAGCACGATTAGCTACTTGAAACTGAAAGAACCAAAAAGGAAAAACCGAACCATGCATATAACAGATTTTAATGACAACTAAGTCTAGCTTGTTGAGCAATTAAGATTGAAATTTTGACTGATTAATGAACCGAAGTAAGAAATTGATTAGTGGTTCGTAAAGGTTCAAACTTGCACTCTAAGTTAAACAATTTTTTAAATAGATATCGCTCCCACTATGTTTCGCATGATCACTATGTTTTGCATGATCACTATATATGAATTAGATTTTACCGTTGACTTCCATCCCCGTTTTGTGGGACTAAACTTGTGCTTTTCTCAATGACAATGAATGCAAACCTTTATTATTCTCTTATTGGAGAGTCAAAACTTGAACTTATATTATTTACTTGAATACTTAACTGGAGATAAAATTACAAATAAAATTGTATATGCATTATATTGAATTTAACAACTATAACTATTATCATAATAAATAGGATAAAGTGCATTAAACCCCCTTAAACTATTGGTTATTTGCTAGAAACCCCCCTGAACTACAAAAAACCTCCTTGAACTATGATTTTGTTGCAATTTACCCCCTTGAACTCTTGGTCATTTGCAAGAAATCCCCCTGAACTACAAAAAAATCCCCTTTGAACTATGATTTTGTTGCAATTTACTCCCTTGAACTATGATTTTGTTATAATTTACCCCCATGACATCAGCTTCCGGCACCGAAAATTTTGAAAGACCAGTTTACCCTTATAACACACTGCGTCGTTTTAACTTATACACTTCTTATATATTTTTTTTCTACCAAAAGATATTTTTCACCTAACACAACCCAAAATAGAGAGCTAGAGAGAGAGAGAGAGAAGAGACCAAAGAAATCCAAGGTCGGCGGGATGGCTCGGTCTCAGATGATGGCGGCTTGTGAGCGGAGGACTCGGTTGTGATGAGAGCTCGGTTGACTCGGCCGTGAACTGTGGAGGCGGCAGCGAGCTCAAGGGGGCTCGGCAATGAACTGTGGACGGCTGTGTGCTCGGAACACGGACGGCGGTGTGCTCGGCTATAGAGATGGCGGAATGGGCCGGCGAGCAAAGCGGTGACGGCGATGGGATGATGCAACGGTGCAGAGAAGTGCGATATTTATGGCCGACGAATCTGGCGGGTGGTGCAACGGCTATGATAGAGCTATGACAGGAGACCCACCGATCCCAACAACAAATTCCTCGGCTTCATCGTCCCTTTCAGTCAATCAATTCGCGCGGATGGGGTAAACTGCAAAAAAATATATAGTTCAGGGGGGTTTTTTGCACATACCCCAATAGTTTAGGGGGATTTTTTACAACTTTTATAGTTCAGTGGGATTTCTTGCACATACCCCAATAGTTCAGGGGGGTTTCTTGCACATACCCCAATAGTTGGGGGGTTTAATGCACTTTACCCTAATAAATAGGATAAAGTGTAAAAAAAACACAATCCCTGAACTATTGCCCTTTTGCAAATAACTCCCTCGAATTAAAGATTGCCTTCCTAAATTATTGATTTGTTGCACTTAAGGATAAACACATCATAAAAGACTATTTTACCCTTTCTTTTTAAATTTGTCATTTCTTATTAATTTATTTTTTATTATATTTTCACTTATTTAAATATTAATTATACCATCTACCTTAATTTTGTAATTAGTATCAATTGATTATAAAAATGAAAAAATAAATAAATAGATTTGTAGTTACCATTTTCTAAAATGATTAACTTATTATAATAAAACGTATTATACTCACTTTAAAATAATTTAGTATAAATATACCTTCTTTTTCAGACAATATTCATGAAAAATTAATAAATTCCATAAATAAAAAATATATTTTTTTATGCAATATATTCGTGAAAGTTAAGAAATTACTTAAATTGTTTCAAAATTTTCTATTTAAGATTTTTATTTAAATAAATAATTAAAAAATTTAAAGGAAAACTTATACAAATTTAATGGAGAATATTTCATCAAATTAGTATAATTTTTTTTCATAATTTATTTCAACAAGAAAAATATACAGTTCAATAAGCAAGGGTATTATAGTCATTTAATGAAAAATAGGCAAGGCAATGGGGTATTTTGCAACTAAATGTGATAGTTCAGTGAGTTTTATGCTTAAAAAATATTTTAAGAGGTTATTTGTAAATTTAGACATAGTTCATGGAGGGTTTTTTGCACTTTACCCCAAATACATAAAAAAGATCGATCAATTTATGTCTTTTCACCGCTATGAAGTTGAAAAGAGTTGAAGAGTTCAAGTGGACCACTCAACATCAGGGGCATTTGACGAACTCAAAGGGTACTTAGATAACCCTCTCGTCTTGGTGCCTCCAATCAAGAAACGGCCTTGTTGTCTTTTATGGCTTGAAAGCTACACAGAGATAATTGGGTTGACTTATTCTTTAGAATTTCACCACGGCTTTTGTGTCGGCCATTCGGAATTAGCGAAGTCCACCCTCTTATCTCTTCAACATTAGATTATCTCAAAGTGTAAAAAAGTGGAAATTGAGAAAGAATATGGAGAAAATAAAGATATTAAAATTACGAAATTACAATTAAAATGATGAGTAACTTATTATATCTTTGTTAAATTAGTCAAATATATATTTTGAATTAACTATCCAAAAATCACCCATTATGTATCATAACACCTTGTTACATTTGTGTAATTAACCATCCAAAAGTATTTGTCGAGACATCCACACGTTTCTGTCACGCTTGTGTTTTACTCTTATCATTTCAGTAATACTTTCACTGCATGTTTACTGTACACCTTGTTACATTTGTTGAATTAACTATCCAAAAGTAAGCTTACCCCTTTAACCAAAAAAAAAAACTATCCAAAACCAAAAGTATTTGTGGAGAGTTAACCATCCACACGATGCTACGCTTGTCAAGCTTGTGTTTACTCCAGCATTTGAGTAACACTTTCACTGCATGTTTACTGTGCGAATTACTCTGCCCTTGTTTCTTCTGTCCTTCTCGACGAATTATGTATTTCAAAATTATTTTCTTATTCTCCTATGGAGATTATGTAACAATGAATTAACTTCCACACCTTATATAGACATGGGTTAGAAAGCATTAATCAATAAATTTTTAAAATTTATTATCTAAGTATCTAGATAGTTACAATCTCAGCTAACTCTTTAATTCTTATAACGTATTCAATCTCTACTTAACTCTTTATTATTATATAGTTTTATGTTCTCTACCATTTTATAAGAATTTGTAGAACAATGATTTGAATTTTTTAAAATTTCTGTTTACTATTTTCTACTAATTTTTTTTTTTTCGTACCAACACTGTTAAACAAGAAAAAAAAAATAATAATTCCAATATCAATGTGCACTGGTTTTTGGAATTGGGAGCAGATTTGTTTTCTTTAGTTTGCACTACCATTTTATAAGAATTTGTAGAATAAGGATTTGAATTTTTTGAAATTTCAGTTTACTGTTTTCTACCTTTTTTATCTTTATTTTATTTTTTTCCTACCTGTTAAACACACACAAAAAAAAAAAAAGAAGGAAAAAAATTCCAATAACAGTGTACTCTGGTTTTCGAAGTTTGGAGTAAATTTGTTTTATTTAGTTTGCACTTTATTTTCGTTTTTTATTTTTTGTTTTATCTTTACTTTTCTTTTATGCTTTTATTTTCTATTTTTAGACGTTCTCCAATAGTATCATTTTCGATCATTTTACAAAATTATTTATTTTTATATATTTTATAAAATGGTTAGTAAGGGTAATTTAGTCAACTTAGGATTTATATTTGTCAGAGGGACCTATTTATACCAGATTGAAATTTTATGAGTGCTTTTTGAGCGTGAGAGGGTCTTCGAAGAGTGTCCTTTTCGGTCATTTTACAAAATTAATAATTTTATATATTTTGTAAAATGGTTTAGTAAGAGTAATTTAGTCAACTTATGGTTTAATTTTGTGTGCACCAAGTTGAAACTTGTTTTTTTAAAACTTGAAGATATAATATGCACCCTAAACATGCTTTAGGAGTGTTTTTTATTTGTAGACCCTATTAAAATTTGTGAGAAATTGAAACAAAAAAACAAGATATTAACATTCAAAAAAGTTGGTCGTAGGCCGTTGTGCTTGTAAAACAGAATCCTATATTTTGTCATATGTTTATTATAAAAATGCAAATACTGTCACAAATTCTGTAGAGTTGTGCCAATACTTTCAATTTAAAATTCATCTCAGAAACATAAACTTGAACTCATCACACCAAATAAATTATGGGAATATTTGGTAGCATCGTATCGAAACTTTAAAATTAAAATTATAAGTAACAACTTCAAATCTACTGTTTAGATATTACAAATTAATATAAAATTGAAATTGTATTGTAATCCCACACATTCCAAATCAACAATTTAAATCGCAAATCGCACGATTGAAATAAAGATTTCCAATACCAAACCAAGCCTAACACATTACCTCTATCTCCCATGGCTCATTCGACTTGTCTGAACATGGTAAATGGAAATTTTAATGTGCATGTGTGTATATACATGTAGAGGATTATATGACATTAAAAAATATTAAAAAAGAGATAAATGGCGTATGTAGAATAAGAAGAAGGTGACGTGGGTGTGGTCTGCTAGCAGCATATTTTCCAAGATAATTAAATTTATATTTATATCATATATCCCACGTGTCACTATCCGTTACATATATTTGGAAGCTTTGATAAATAAATAAATAATTAGAAAAAAAAAAAAAAAAACACTCCAGTCATTTACTTAATTACTAGTTAATTTCTAAAAGAGAAGCAGGAATTTTTTTTATTGTGGACTGTTCAAATATTATTTATTGAATAAAACTTGTCTTAGGATTGAAATTACCTTATATAGCTGAAAGAATTAAAAGTGATCATCAAAATTTAATTTTAATTATTCCATCCGACAAAGAAAATATTTGTTTTGAAATGAACAAATAGTAAGACAAAAAAAAATAACTGATTATAAAAAATATTAATGTATTGAATAATATTGACTAGCTAAAGCTATTCATAATTAAGTTTTGTGATGAGTAAACTAAAAAGTATTACAAGTTTTTGTGATGAGGGGGAGCAAACTAGTAGAAGTCATACTTTTTTCATGATAAACAATATCAACCTTATATATAATGGACTATTCTCTCGAAGTGAAAACACTCAATATAGTGACAATTTAGTATGACTGTATTAGTTTAGTGTGATAATATTATTGAGGCATTGAAGTAAACTAAAAATAGTGGGTTTTAGAAGTTTTGGTAGCCATAAGCTAAATCTTTGCAAAATTATTTTCTTTTAATCCTATGGAGTTTATGTAACAATGAATTAACTTCCACAGCTTATATAGGCATGGGTTAGATCTTTAAAGCTTTTCATCCAACTATCTAGATAGTTACAATCTTTACTAACTCTTTATTCTTCTAGAGCATTTAAAGCTTTTCATCCAACTATCTAGATAGTTACAATCTTTACTAACTCTTTATTCTTCTAGAGCATTCAATTTCTACTTCAACTCTTTATTCTTCTAGAGTATTATTATGTTGTCTACCATTTTATAAGCTTTTAGAACCAAACTCACCCGAAGATTTAAGACATGATTTCTCAAATGTCACATTATTGGATTGGATCCTAGGCATTTTATTGTTATATTCTTTAATGTTTTCTCAATTCTACGACATCTTTAATGAAACTGATGCTACTTTCCAAATTCCAAGTGCTCACAAACTTTAAACAGGGATTTACCATCTTGCATAGATAATCACCAAACAAGATGTACCAATCAGATCTCTCCAAGTCAATTCATCCATTATAAATGAAAAAATAAAAAGTCACCTAAAATGCATATTCGAATTCCAGGACAAATAATGTCATTGCACAAACTATATTCATATTGCAAATGTGAACTGTTGCAAAGCCTACAACATCACTACATAAAAAACACAAATCAAAAGGAAAAAAACAAACACACCCAAAGCTGTTTTGAAGTACAAAGAACAAAAGGCTCCTTGAATTTTGTTGAGAAGTGCTTGGTCACTTCCCAAGCCCTTACTCTTTCGCTGTCTCTCTCAAACCTATCTATGCAACTAATGAAGCTTGAGGAGAAAGAGGATGAGCACTCCTTTTTATAATTGTCTCTTCACTCCTTTCTTCCTCTAATCTTCGACCTTATTTAATCCAAAGTCCATCTAAAGCCCTACTCTCATTCCAAATCAACAAGTAATTGAAAATTACAACAAAAAAAAAAAAGAAAGAAAAAGAAAGACCTTGCTGGACTGCATCTTGTATAGCTGCACAATTCTTACATTTCAACCCCACGAAACCGTGTGAACCTCCTTTAAGTAACTTGCTCTCTTACTGTTTTAGGCCAAAGTGTAGCTTGAGACAGAAACATCTGCTGGAGAAGCAGAATGGATGTAAACAAATTCAATGCTTTTTCCAGCAGGTAACGTGTCGACCCATGCTGGCAAACCATATGATTCCCCAGACTTCGTGAGACCCCATAATGGACCATAGAGCTTTGATATTGAAAGCTTGAGACCCTTCAGCGTTTTACCAGACTTGTTGGTAACAACTGTGGAGTATCTGTAGTATGTTTTACCCTTGTCATTCCATGAAATTGTCATCTTCTGCTCGATGGCAACTGGAGAAGAAGATGAAGCTGCAAAACAAGATCTCATTATTAGATTCATACCCTTGAGCCAATTAGTTAAGACATCCTCCAAGTGACTAGGCAAAGAATTGCCCTGCTAGTGGATCCAGCAATATGCCAAAGTCGAATGAGGATGTCAGGTTTTTTAATATAAGGAGCAAAATTATACAGAACCTTTAGAGAAAAGTACAAAAGGATACCTGGAGATGGCGTGGTTTTGGTTTTTGGAGAAGGATTGGGTTGGGTGACAACTGGTTTAGGAGCTGGAACAATTACTGTAAAAACAAATTTAAAGATTGAATAACACAAATTGCATACTCTAGTTTTATAGATTTAGGAAATAAGTAAATAAAAAATGGTGATGATAATAATTAAATACCTGGAAGGAGCTGGTTATAACCACTGTGACCACCATTTAGTCTTGCCAATATGCCAAGGAGAGGTGCATTGTTATAGGTAGCAGGCTCTGTTTGCTCATAGTTGTCTCTTTCATCGGCAAAGTTATCGTATGCATCAGGTCCACCAACAATAGCACCAGTAAGGAGATTGGGGTCACTCGCCTTCCTGCTAAACCAGGTGGCATAACCTCCTCGGCAACTAACAAATGAAGGGTTAACCTTAATAGAGACAATTGAGGAAGCACGGTGGTGAACTTGTCGTGGGTAGTTGCTTCCATACCCCACCATGTAACTGGTGGCTCTCGGATTATCTCCAAGGATATAGTCCACCTGACGATTCACACATCACCAAGGACAACAAAATTTGCATCAATTGAGCTGTATGAGGTGAGTGATGCATAATAGTAGACATTAGAATACCATTTCCTACACCACAAGCTCCAAGCTATCAATTAATTCACTAATCAGCTAAGCCTAGCAAGATCCCAAAGCGAGTTCTAAACTCAAATCCTAACAACAACTAGTATTTTGGTGTTATGCAGCAAAGTGTGTTACCTGGGATTTGGCGAATGACAAAAGCTCGGATGGTGCAACACGGCCAGAAGCGCAATGCAGGCTTTTACCAGCAGAGGTCAGATAGTCGGAGTAGACAGTGAGTAAGAAAGAGGCACTAGTCACGAATTGCAAGTTGTTCCATCTCTGGCGGAAAATGAGGCCTCCTGGAGTCTTCTGAACGTTGCGAGTGCCCTTTCCAATGCATGAACACATGAAATACTCTGCCTTCTGCTGGTACTGCTCAAAAACTGGCGCATTGTGGCCGGCCTTCCCTTGCATTAGGAACTGAAAGCAGATAAAAATATAACAATGAGCTAACTCTCACTCTCAGACCAAGAATTATCCAGCTAATTAGATCGTAATACTCCTCGGTCCATATAAAAAAGATTGAAATGACTCATTTTAATAATGTAGACACAGTTTGTTGACTTGAAGGGTGTCTAAATCCATACTACCGCAACCATATAATTCAATTGTTTGAAATGAATTTCTAGACTCGTGAATTTATCAACATCAAATTCGTAAAAATTCTTGTTGTCGACTATGTATGGTTAAAAAAATTAAACTACGAAAGAAAAAACTTTGCTTGTTTATATTTTCTTTTTCTACTTAGATGTTTTGGAATTCCCAGATAATAACCCTTTTTACTAGATTAAAAAGGGATCACACCAGAGAATGACACTTTTTACTAGTAATTCATTAGCAATAGGATGGGACAAGTGGAGGTCCCCTAATATCTCACAAGTCACATGGTATTTCACCTATGTTTGGTGACAGTGACACTACTACAAAACAAGATAAGATCTATTAATGGTGTATATTAATTTTTTTTTTCTTCCCTTAATTATATTACATTATTTATGTTAAATAATCCTTGAAAGAATTAAAATGGACTATGTCCAATTGTAAAATATTACCTTGGCAACAAGGGTCTGAACACCGGCATACTTGACATCCCATCCAAACTCAGTCATGCCCCAACCAGTCCCACCAAGGGCATTACCATTATTTCCAAGATAGCTCAAGTAGTACTCATTGTTAGTTGCTTTGTATAACCACGCAGCAGCCCAAAGCAACTCATCCTACAAACAAAAATATACACACACAGTGAGCACAAATGTATAATTGGAATGCACTGTTTCACCAAATTTAAGCGGTGGTGATCACATACGGCGTATCCACTGACAGAACGGTAGTACTTCTGGGCCACTGAAATGCTGCTGTCATATTTGCCCCTGTATTTGTCTGCAAACTCGAACAGCTGAGGATAATAAAACAACCAGTTAGAAGACGTCTACAGGTAATCCAGAAATTAATCTTGTAAAAAAAGGGTAATATTGGGAATGAGAAGTTTGAAGGAGAAGGTGTGAGTTTGGGTGTGTCACGTGACACAACATAATTACTGGCGCGTTTTTTACGGATCCTCAGTGGACGGTTAAGATCTGATGGTACAGAGATTTTTGTACGGTTAAAGACATGACACGTGATAGACGGGAAAGTGCGCCAACGATCCAAAGTATGCGCCTAAAGGTTTTAGCCAGCATTTAATCTTAGTGATGTTATCGATACAACAGAGTAAAATTAAAAGGCAATAGAAAATACGGCACCGTATTCTTTGCTTTGTGGGGGTCAACCTGCCTGTTTAGTGATCACTGGTCAGAAGAGAAACCAAAATAATGGTAACATTTCAAAATTATTTTTTCCCTAAATATCTTTTTTTTTTGTGCTGCCATTAATTTCCCTGTGCAAGTTTGCTAATACGCACCTCTAGTGTCGGTTGACATTATTAATATGTGAGGTTTGTGTCATAAATACTGACCTACAACGGTCACAAGGCCCACAACTAACCTGACCAAAAAAAAGTGACTGCCCAATAACTGCATCTGTTTTTTTTTTTGAAGGTCAATAGCTGCATCTGTTCTGCTAACGTACGCACACACAACTCCTCAACTAGATAATGGTCTGACAAATTATTTTTATTTTTTTATTTTTCCTCAGTTGTGTGATTTCAATAATGTTCAACAAGAATTATAACTGTCCTCTTTAAGCATTTTGCTAAATTTGAGCATCTATTTATTTATATGCTCATGTCATTTTGGGAGCATAACAATTTATGTGTTGTGTTATCCTATTTAAGAATTTTTTTTTTTTTTTTTTTTTTTCAAAACTTTTTAAGAGTTCAATAGTATAAATATTGTGAGTGTCCTCTTTTTAGCATTTTGCTCAATTTGCTAACGTGCCGCTGGCCAAAGCAACAAACCAAGTGGCCACAGTGGGGTGTGTGAGAGAGAGCGGGGGGTTCAAACCTGGTGGGCATGAGTGAGGAGCTCATTGGCATAGGAAGGATTGTAGTGGCGGAAGACGAGGGAAGCGGCGGCCATGGCGGCGGCGGTCTCGCCGGCGAGGTCTGATCCGGGATTGCTGGGGTCGATCTTGTAAGCCCGGCGTGAGGTGGTCATATCCTCCGGCCTTTGCCAGCAGTAGTGGTCTGTGTTCCCATCTCCTACCTAACAAATCACATCAACCCGTTACCACCAACCAATTAACTAATATATATAAATAATTACTAGATTTGTTGTTCACTTATTATATGACTTACAGTTACACTTAAGAAGAAGATAATCCCATTGAAAAGGACATATATAATAATTAATCCCCAAAATTAAACCAGGATCCAATCATTTTTGTGATTTTTGAGAAGTGGGTTGGAGTCTATAGTGCAATTAAAGCACAAATTGATGTTCCTTCAATAAATAGTATTTAATGGGTTTGGGTAAAAAAAAAAAAAAGAGCAATCTCTTAGATGAAAATTGGTATGAATGGGTATTTTGTGCAGTGTAAGAACCCACTGAATTGATCTCCAAAAACAATTTTGTATTTGTAAAAACAAATTCACAGAGTAGAGCAATTAGATACTGTCAAGTTGAGATAGATAGATATAGAGAGAGAGAGAGAGAGAGAGAAGAAAAGAGAAGGGGTAAGTGGAATAGTAGTGGGTACCTCTCCATAGAGGACATAGGGATGGGGGTGAGCTTTAATGAGGTAGTCAGTGCCCCACTTAATAGCATCCATGGCATGACTAAGCTCACCACTTGCAGCCATTTGCTTCCCATACTCAACTATGCTCCATGACATCATTGTAATGGTGAATGCCATGGGTAGCCCAAACTTCACATTGTCCCCTGCATCATAGTACCCTCCTACCAGATCCACCTGCACCAAACAATATTCACAACATCTGTAAATTCATATACATAACTCTTATTATTCTAATGATATACTATCTCATATATGTATTTCAACTACCAAATTAAACCCAATAATTATTTTGGTTTGAATTTAAAACCAAATTACAAAAACCCAAGAATTATTTTGGTCAGAATTAGAGAAAAATGGAACATACCCCACTAGCCTTGCCGTCATTGAGACCGGAATGACCTCTCCAGTGGACTCTCTGGCTACTGGGAAGGTAACCAGATCTCTGAGCTTCAAAGAAGAGAATGCTCTTGGTGAGAGCTTGGCCGTAGTCATGCCCACCAAAAGCCAATGGAACAAGTCCAAGAAACAGAAACAGAGGACCCATAAAACAGAGTCTCGCAAACTTCTCCATCAAATAAATGTACACAAAACCCAATCAAGGCTTTCAATCAAAATTTTCAGTAAATTAAACAAGGCTAAAAAAGAAAAAACACGGATCTGTTCTGTATCAGAGGCTGTATGTATTAGTAAAATGCCAATGTCGGTATAATTTATCAGCCAAATATTCTGATAAACCCACCCAGAACAGAGTAACCCCTCAGAGAGAGAGAGAGAAAGAGAGTAGGGATTGGGAGGAAGAAGGGCAGAGCTAAAGCCACTATATAAGGAGACCGGAAGGGAGGTGTTGTCAATTGTTCAGAAAATGGTGAGATAAATAAATGGTGAGATAAATAAATGTTGTTCTTTTTTGAAAATAAATAAATATTGTGTGTGTGTATTTTCTAAATTGAGGAGCTGTATACGGTTGAGAAAGAGCAGAGTCATGTGGGTTTGTTTGGCTCTTTTGTGGGAAGGGTCGGTGTTGGAGTGAAGAAATTTACTAGTGCAGACAAAGGGGGATGGGAATTAGTTCGTTAAATTAAATAATGGACGTTGTTCAATTAATGTTTTCATTATTTTATTTGTACTCTGTTAGTTAGAGATACCTTTAAAAAGGTTTAATTGGATGAGGACCTGAACAAGTTTGAGGTTTACCGAAATCAAACAGAGTAAAATGAGGTGCAGGTTTGCAGCCAAGGGAGTCAAAAAGTTCCAGAAAACTGTCTCTTGGGTGTCCCCATTGCTAGAATGTCAATAATGCCCACTACTCTTTACCCAAAGAGACAAGGTGTGTGTTTGGAATGAATTTCCAATGCACATCTCTTATTATTGCCTCTCTCTTTTTTCCACCTTTTCTTTTGATAAGGTCTCTCTCTTCTTCTCCCTTTTTTCCCCAGCCTGATGCAGTTGGAGGCCTAATAATGCAAAATTGTTAAATTTTATTTTCTCACATTAACTATATTAATAATTTAATACAACACTAATAATTTATATATATATATTTTGTCTCTATTCACCTTGCAATATACTCCAGGAAAAAATATATAACACCACCTTTTTATCTTAAGAGAGAATGATTTAATTGTGCAGCAATTAAGAAAACTTTTCAGTTAAAACGAAGTACTAGATCAATAAAAGAAGGATGGATAATTAATACAATACACCAAGCTTATTAAAAATAAATATATAATTAATATAAGAAAATTGATAAAAGTGATAGAATTGTCACCCAATGTGTCCATTGTCAATTTGATAGAGCACTTCAAAAGAAGAGACCTAACTTTATACATAACTAATTAAAAGTGCTTTTTTGGATTGGACTAGTAACCTTTTCTCTCATTAAATCAAGGTATAAAACACTCTCAATATAAGTTCAGCTTGACTTATAAACCCACCACTTCAACTCAATTTTATTTTTATGACCATGGTCTAGACTTTGGATAATTTTAGATTATGCTCATTTTTATCACTATCTTAATAATAACAATAGCAATACACAGAGTAGACTAGGTTTGTATAAAACGAAATCAAAAGATAACCAACCTTTGTCCTACTCAATCTCCTCAATTTGTGTTGTAACAATCTTTATATTATAGTGTTTCACTCTTCTCTCTCCGCATCAAATCTTTCTACATGTAATTTTCAGTTCAGAAGGGAGGAAAAAAAAAAAAAACAAAAAAAGCCATTTTGCTTCCGAACACACCCTAATTTTCAGTCCACATACATTGGTTTGCAGAATCACCAAAGTGGTGTCTTGTTAGGCATTTTAATAAAGTTGAAAGAAGGTGAATTTCAATTCAATGAAAAAGTGCAACCATACCCAAAGTATGGTACTAAAGTATAAGAATTGGAAGGGAACATGAACCCAATTACTTGCAAAAAGTGAAGCAAAGCATCCAAAAACAACTGCTTTGTAACATAAATCCTGACGTTGATGGTCTTTCCACGTTTCAAAGGTTGCTTACAATTTCGGATCACAACATGATCAAAAGAAAAACTAGGAGTTAAAAAGGACACAACATTTCAATACAATTAACATATTGATCCGAACCATCACTACAACTCCTTCCAAATTAAGACTGCACAACATTGGAAGGTTGAATGTTTCTTTACTTTTTGTTCGACTTGGTTTGTTACCGTTTTTTTAAAAAAAAAAATTAATTATAGCTATTTTGCTATGGTAAAATGCAAGAAAATAAAAATTAAAAATTATACAGCATTTACAAATACAAAAATCAGCATGAATTATATAAGATCTACAACTATACCGCATTTACAAATACAAAAATCACCATGAATTATATTTTTTTTTATTTTTTCTTTTTTCCTTTTCTTGCATTTTCTTCTTTCCACTAATTCATTACATTTTTCAACTAATATATCATGCAAGTCTCACACTATATATATATATCAGATAATTTTTGCGCCTAATAACATTTATTCTGCATTTTGAGCATCAAATCCCCCTTTAGAATTAGAAGACAGAATGTGTGATAATGTTGTACAAGTAATAAAGAGTCAGGCCTTAACTCTTAAGTGACCTGCCTTATTCTCCCCCTAATCCTACCAACTCGTAACTCTCATTGCGAGATTAAAATATATATATATATATATAAGAATTAAAAGAGAGAAAATTTAATTTAACACCGATTCTCCCAAATATAAATTTAGGATATTTGAGATGTTTGCTTCTAATAAATGTAAAGTTTAGGCCAAATTGGCAAATTAACACAAAGAAAAAAGTAAATCATTGAAGGATTTGTAAGTGTAACGAAACAAAGATGATGGTATGAGCTAATAATTCACAGAAAGATGATCGGTAATAATTGTTAGCATTTCATAAGCGATTTTAACGTGTTGATCCATTCCAATAAAAATAAGTGACGAACAAAGGTAATGAGTCCCAAACACGAATGTATCTTGTTTTATTCAAATTTAGGGTGAATTCTTTGAAGTTTTAAATTGTACGTTAAGGAAAAAACTTAGTATGACCAACGGGTCAGTGGTCTAGAAATATCAGATCCTTACTTCTCAAAAGGAGATTAAGGGTTCAATCATTAGTAGAGACGTGTGTGTGTGAGTACCAATTATGAAAAAAAAAAAAAAAAAAAAAAAAAAAAACCTTAGTATGGCAAACATTTTTCTCTTTGCAATATTGTGTGACATTGGCTTGTAGCACCTTCTTTTCCGTAATCCGGGAAATAGTGAGATTATAACAATCAATCTACAGGGATATAAATCAAAAGGTGTCGTGTTGTCGTAGCGAAGTGATTGAATTGCTTTTTGTATCCGAAGCCTATGTTTAAGTCTTGCAACCTCACTTTCTCTTTTAACTAATAATCCCTAACATTGTTAAGGGAAAAAACAAAATCCACAAGGATGTGAATGTAAATTTATATTATGATCCTAAGTTATGACACGCGGCGAGCCAACTACACTTGGGCTCTGGAAACGTTACCACAAGAATTTGACCTGCAAAAGGATTCGAATGCCCGACAACCCGACAAACAAAGCTCATTCTACTATTTATCAATCTGGGAATTAAATTACTACTCCATTTAAAATCACCACCGACAGCACAAGTACAGATATATAATTTCTAAAAATATATAGTAGTATATAATTACAGAGTATAATTTATATAAAACATAACATCATTTTTACTGCGAATAATAGACATGTGGCAATCCTTGTAATAATCTCGAAAACGATGGTCACTTTGATAACACAGCTCAATTAAAAAAAATTTGAAAAAAAGTGAAAGAGAAAAATGCCAAAGAGAGATTCGGTCAAAAAAGGGAGGTCCCACTTTCCAGTAAAGCTTTATTCTTAACCGCAATCAACGGGGTCCGCCGAAAAAGAGATAAATGTCTATTTTTCTTTACACTTTTTCAAAATAAAACATAAAAAAAGTAACTATTTAAAAGATTAAAAATAGGAGATCTTGACACGTCACAAAAAGCCAAAATGGCAAAGTTCCGTGATTACCGGCTGACGCCGGTTTTGTTACGGCTACGGCAGTATTTGGCACCACCACAGTTACCGGTTGTCGCGGAGGTGTCCCCACATGTTGCCTTCACCTGGAAACCTAACCAGCCGGTTGCAACCTTGTGGTCCTTGACTCCTTGCAGTTAGCTTTAGCAATAAATGTACAAGTAATGCTGCATATGGGCAGTTGCTTTTGGGTGGTTGCCTTGATTATTAGGGCTGTTAAAGGGTGACCCTAATTCTGTAAGACCAGAGCCTACATGGGTCTTTTGTGTTCACTATTATATATACACACACATATATACATACACATATATACATACATAACTCTCTCTCTAAAGCAACAAATACTAGAGACGTCTGTCTTGGTAGATGTATAGTTGAGACTAGAGGGGCCTCCAATGTGAAACAAAAATAGTCACCCTTGATTTCATGGTGGAACTTTCTCTTTGTTGGAGACCCCAAGCAGTGTCTCCTCTTCCTAAAGAAAGCACACTTTCACTTTTTCTTTTTCTTTTTTCTCTTTTTTATTTTTCTATTTTTTCCCTTTTGGGGTTTGGCCATCTTTTGAAATCTTGAGCATTCACACCAAATAATAAATAAATCCTACCCACTACAGATTTGTTCAAACGCATTAAAAGCTCAGCAACGCTTCAAATATTCAAAGGGACACATGACTAAAAGGACCAAATAAAGTAAGAGAACTGCATAAATTAGGGATGCAATTAGCCCATTTCACACTCAAAGCCTGTGTTGTTCAAATTTTTTTTTTATTTAACAGAAATTCAAGAACCTAAACAAAATTTTATGTTGTGGTGCTTAAATTTGGAATAATTTTTCGAATTAGTGAGAACAGGTTACAGAAAATAAAACAAATTAAATCAATAGTTACTGCAAACAAGAATGTTCAACAAAAAAACGTTGTCTTTGTCACAATAGTTAACACTTGGTCTCATTGATATATAACATGAAAGAGACAAGCACATGACTTATATTAAACAAAATAAATCGAAAGAAAATGTGTGAGGTCTTTAACATGTTCTTTCGGAGTATTAATGTATGTCACATCTTGCTGCCCGTGGTCTATTTCTTGTACAATTCATTTGTAAGACCGACATCCGAGTGGTTTCAGAACATTTCGAAAGCAGATTCTAATCCTTCAAGAAGATAAGACCGTGATATGTGGAAGGAACAAAGGCACTTACAACTTGAATGTGAAAGAATAGGTTTAAAATATGAGAACAACTATTTACAAATCTTTGGAGTCTAAACACACGTACGGCTTCTCTGCCACCCCAAACTATCACCACCAATTTACATCCGTACTAATCCCATGATTGAGAATTGTGAAATTTTATCCGTCA